GTCTTCTTAATGGGTAGTTCTAGCCTAACAGGGCAACTATGCTTCCGAAAATAGTAGAGTGCTCTGGCTATTTTTATAATAAGAAGATTTACTGCTATTATCTTCTTTTCTATTCACTCAGCAGCACTACCCCCCGCTGCTGGTCTAGCCCAGGATTATTAATTTCCTACACACCGCACAAGTTCATCAGTCATAAAAACTATCTATAATAATTCCTTTAAATATCTGTGATGTCATTGGAACATTCGCCTGACAGACAGAATCAAGATCTGGAAACTTCTTAAAAATCCTGATTCTGGCTAGAACAATCAGTTAAACTATAGTCAGATAATAGAGTTTTCCAGTGGATTAAATATTCTCTTTATTATTACTATAGCAGGGGACAACCTCAATAACCAGCTATATATATTTAAAGTATCAGCTGGTAAGGAGGATCTGCGGATTCTGAATATAATAGACTTTTAAATATATAATTTGTTTTTAATAAAAAAATCAATAACTTTTCTGTACTAGACACAGTCTAGTATAATAGTTATATACTAGATTCACTTCATGGAAATTATTACTATTCAGTAAAACCTCATTTACAGCTTGGTCAAATTGATAAATTCTTTTACAGAGTGGATATTTTCCAGAATATTCAGAAATAATTACAGCCATATTATACTTGATTATACTAAATTTTCTTGCAGGTCAATTACTCTTTCTATTAATATAAAACCACTTACTTCTAGACTTCGGAGACTGATACTAATTATATATATTAGGAAATTTCCACAACGGCCCCATACACACATAAAAAATTCTTGGAGGTATTAAATATTTGCATTACTCTTGAGCCCGAGTTAAACTTGAGATACAGTATACAAAGAATATTATATTAAAATAGGCAATAATACAATTTGTCACAGTATAAGAGTAATGAAGTATAGAATGATACAGGAAGCTCGTCTCTTTATTATAGATAACATCATCCTAGTCATATAAAGGAGAATATGCTCCCTGATATAAATTATATTAAGCATCAAACCTGGCTGAGGGCCTCTACCAGAATCATCCTGTGGCGTCTATATGCTACTAGCCCTCACATCATCCTGCTGCAGTCAACAACCGTGGATTTATTCTACTCAGCCAGGATAAATCACATTCACTTCTACCAGTCTAAAATCTTCACCTTACACACAGATAAAACTTTTATGCCTTCTAATATCTACTCTGAGATAGAAAATAACAAGAAAAACTCAAAAGCCCCCCAGTTATTAATTATAATATATAATAATTATTCACTTCCCAGAAAGCCCCCACTTATATCTCCAGCTAATAAGGATTCTGTTTCATTAAAAAGCAAACTTGAAGATATATCTCCAGATATAAAAATATTCCTAGCTTTTATATCAGAAAGAACAGAGATCGCGCATCTGGATATAAATATATAACTAATAAATACTGCACGAAAAGAACACGGCGAACACATTTCCATATATAATAAAAGTAGTAATAGCAAATATATACCCAGTTCTTTAATTGTTGGACCATAAGTATCCTATTCAGAATATTCTAACATCAGGTCCATGAGTAAGGCAGTAGAGATAAAATCTATACTATTAATCTTAGCCTCCGGTGATTAATAACCTGGGAGTCCAAGTAAACTTAGATCATCTAATCTAGAAGACTGTAAGATAATTCATATTAAATTTATTTTTACTCTGGTCCAAGAAAACTGAAGATATTTATTAACCTGAGATTCTAGATTATAATTAATCTTATAATATAGATCTGACAAGCTCCTCTTGTTGTTTAAATAGTTAAGATATAAAATATATATTACCAACATCAGAGTATTCTGATATGTGTTTAATATCTGAATAACCAAGGGCTGACATGTACTTCCTGGAAAATCAAGCAAAAAGTACTAGAATCTCAGGCTGATTTAGAAGAATAATTGTTAAAATAATAATGCTCTCTCAATACCACCATTCTCTAATACAAGTAAATTTAATAGAATCTGGCTTAGATAATAATAATCCTGATAACACAGATTTTTAAACAGAGTCCAGTAAATCGGGAGAGAACCTTACATTATTAATTAATTTATATAAGTATATTTATAAGATATATCTTTATAAATGCAGGTATATCAGATATTTGATTAATTCTTTAAAAAAGATATCGAATCCTGCAGTATCTTATCTAACAGAGTCTATAGGATATTATTTATAATATTTTTTACCAGTCTTTACTACTACGCCTACCACCCGCACTTACTCTTTATATAATTATATATTATAATCTATTTTTTAATATAGCTTAAGTAATTAGTCTAATTTTCTAAGCCCAGATACCTGCTCTCAGGGAAGAGTACCGGTGTGTGGCTATCTTGAAATACTACCAGAAAATTATAATAATATTTTTATATTTTACCCTTCTTTACTGTGCTCAGGATGCAGGAGATAAGATTATTATTATTTTGAATTTAATAAATCTTATATAAATACAGATATAGCTAGTCTCTTTGGCCTTAACCTGGGTTACCCAAGAACAGGAGAAAGATTTATAAAAGTAAAAGATTAGCTTATTATCATACTAAAAAACTATGAATTATTTTGGAAGAAAATAGAGCCCTTTTTCCCGCAATAAAAGTTAACAGTATTATAAAGCTATTGGTTCCGGCAGCTACAGACGGGATAAAAGATTAAAAATAATAATTATTATTAAAAAATCTGGTATATATTCTTACTCAGACTATATCAGATCTTATTATTATTCTTAAAGACTATAAGTATACTTCTTATAATATAATTCATGAGATATTCTAATATATTATAGTATTATCTCTAAAAAGTTGAAGCAGCGGTCTCCGCCGTGAAAGTATATAAGTCTTGTATAGATATTACTTTTGTCTAACAGAATCTGTCAGTAAAAAAGAATTTATAAAATTGGAATAGAGAGTGTATGGAAATACCGTAGAAATAAGGTATGATATAAAAAGTAGTACTTACTGGCTGTGACGCAGCATGTAGACATAATACTCGAGCTTGATATATGGAGCTGATATAGTTTCAGAAATCTCTAAAAAAAATGTTCCAAGGCTCTAGCTCTCAACTACCCACGCTAACACACTAAATCACTGAGTTAAAATATGATGTAATGTTGAGGCGCAATATTACTAGTAAGGCAAAGCAACGAAGCAATCAAAAACGAACGCGAATTACCGCAAAAGAGTGTGTTGAATTGTCGCTATCTAGGTGCTCTCGCAGAGCAAGAAAGGGGGGGTTGTACGTGGGCGGTCTGGGCGCTAGGCACGTGACTAAGCCTACTTTGGCAGATGCCTCAACATATAATGCAATGAAGGGAAAGCTAGAAGTTAGATTGAGCTTCTGGGAACCTGTAAGTAAAAGTGAGAGGATGTTCTAGTGTACATGCTACACAGGAAGTTCTGGTGAAAGCAAGAATAAGTGTGATTATAGCATAGCACCATATAAAGAATATTGCAGCGTTCTAATAGGTATACCTAGCCAAATATAGTAAGGTGCGGTAACTTGACATTAAATACCAGGAATGCCATGATATTGTTCTATATACTTAGTCAGAAAATTCATATTCATCAGGGCACTGCCGTTTTCAGTAACTGTATTATTTAAGTTTAGTACCCATCAGCTGGCTTCCTGTTATGGATTAGTATCATTTCTCTTAGACTTACTAGACCATGCCATGCCTGAATAAGAATTACTACCCGGGTCCGTCTTCACGGCTCTCTAGTAATTATATAAAACTGTAAGTATATTACTTAATAACTTCTCCCTTATACATCTGATAATACCCTTTAAAGCTCAGCTTAGTTGCGGCTATTTACCTTGTTTAGATATTATTACTCCGGGCCTGGCACCGTAGAAATGAGTTTATAGCCCTTTTTGGCCCCCATTCTCAACTCGACCGCTAGAATCGCTAAGCGTTTACAGGAGAATACCAGACCACTTGTCTTCCTAAGTTAATAGCCCCCGAAAGGGTTTCTTTTAGTAAATATAGCTAATTAATCTCTTGTCCACGGCACGTTCTTCTCCCAGTGGGGTACTCTCAGGGTCTGGTTCTTGTTGTTGATGAGACTACGAGACTACGAATAGTATGTCGACATGCAATTTCCTGATCTATTCATGAATACCAAGCACCAATAGCAGAAATATATTATATAGTATATCTTATTATCAACCTCAGGACAAGTCACCTGCTATATCACTAGACTCGAAACTAATTTCTGACTGGCTGTAGAATGGATATCATCTAACTACCTCGCTCTACTGTGACAATCTGGTTGGTATTGCAGTTCTATTCAGCCTTCCAGCCATCCAGAAACCTCCTCGCCAGAGAATTCAGTTAGTTGGCTGGAGTGGGTGTTGTAAATCATGTTGATATTGTGTGACTAATAATTGTCTCTGATCTATTGGAAGAGACCTACTTCTATTATATAAAGAGGACCAAGTCGATGATTTCGTGTTGGCTGAATACGAGAAGATTATAATACTAAAATGCTACTCTATGGTCTTCAGAAGAACTTAGAAATCGTCCGCAACATGCCTTTTTGGGGCGGGGTCGGTGAGCGTCTTTAGCTGGGGTCATAGAGCAGATTAGATGCTTGTTCCCCATTGGGATTATGCCCTGCTCATCAGTATCCACAATTCCGAAGTCCCTGTGCATTACAATACACATCTGCGCCGATGCACCATACAGGCTCTCGGTCCTGAAATGATTATGGTAGGGGCCCTGTATGGCGATGATGAAATTCAACAGTGCTGGCTGGCTAATAAAATGCTTACATGGATATCAGACATGATCCGCGAAGTACCAATGTGTCCATCCGCTAGGTCAATTGTAATATAGATACTTCCCTCGTCTCTGGGCTTCAGACAATCAGTTATACGCTGCAATTTCAGCATAAAATTCCCCTGTTCTTTCTTTCTTCTCCCCTCACCAATCGATACAGCTTTTGAAAGATCCTCAAAATCATGCATATCAGCTTTGATAGTATCAGCTTCTACCATCCTCCTCCTCCAAAACTTCAAACTACTGTGTCTGCTTCCCGTTGGAAATTGTACAAGGCTCCTCCAGCTCCACACAGCCTTTCACGCCCTCTTCCACCCAAACCCCCTATCCTTATAGCAAATATCCCGATCTCAGATAAACAGCCAACTGCTGTCCAGCAATCCCAAAATCCTACAGAAGATAAGGCTTCAGCAGTACCAGCATTCCGTAATATATTTAATATTAAACTCAGGAGAGTCTCGAGAGAGTATTTATAGCAGAAAATAATTTAATTATAAATAAAACAGATCTGGAAATATACTGTGGTTATAGATTTCTAGATAAAATCATATCAGATATATCCTAATATCAGGATATGTCTTTAATTTTTAGTATATAAATTACACGATGAGCGCACCTTTCTTGGAATCAGTTAATACTATGTATAATACCACATTCAGTGAGCTTAGAGTCGGTGCAACCGCTAGCAAATACTAATGGCTGCATTATAAATTCATATTAATTAGGCTATGGTGAATATTTACTATTATATAAAACAATAAACAGCTCAGATTAACCGAGAAAATCAGGCAAGATAATTTATAAAAGAAGTTAAGATTAAAAAATAGTACTTTTAGAATGATTTTATATCTTAAGATTTTATGCTATTAATCAAAACAGTATAGTACTCGGGATTATCCTGGTCTATTTTACTTTCTTATTCTAATAACCCCAGCACCCACTGATTCAGAGCTGATGATGGATTGATCTTCAGTAAAATAGAGACATAGCACATGATTATCAGTATAAAATATACCATATTCACGGGATTATTTATGTTATAAAAATTATAAAAATATAGAGTTATAAAACTGCCTGCTTCCTTGCACCCGCATTTTATATATTTAATCTATATTCAAGAAATCTTATAAACATCTTAGTCTTATACTAGCTTATTAAAGAATGATTATTTCTGTTAACAGAATAGTTTATGAATTTTAATTTTCAAGATTAAGCCCGGTACTTACTAGTATATAAAACCAGATATTAAATAACTAGGATTCTTTTTAATTTTTACAACTGATTCAGATACTTCTTGCATAATAACGCAATTTTTCTGAATTTTTAAAAATCTATTATACTCTATTATAATCTTGACAAGCTGAGTATCGGTGCTCAACCAGTCTATTTATTCTATCAGTAAAACTTTCTACTAAACCTTAATTTAACTTGAATCATCTCTTGTATGTACGCCACCAGTTGCGGGTCCCAGAGATTATAGAGATTAGAATATTAAGAAATTTAATAAAAGCTGAATTAACTATATTCTTATTATAATTACTATTACTAGAATAAAATACTACAAATGGTTACTCATAAGCCGCACACAGTATTATTCTAGTATAATATTTAAATATACCTGGATGGGATATAATAAATAATATTATATTATAAGTTTTCACACTGTTATTTATCTTATTCCTAAACTTGACTCTAAGTATCAGAAACAGAAGTTAAAATATTATATCTTACACTAAGATCTTATTATTCTTGTTAATACAGTAATACTTATATTCAAGCTCGTAGTCCGTTTTATAGGCTTAAAAATTAATAAAAATATAATTAATAGTCTAACTCCCTAATATATCAACCCCGAGGAAATCATATGTCTCGTAGAGAGTATGATACTGAGCTAAATTAATTAGCAGAGATTAAAAACAGAATTAGTAATCTAATTTAAGTTCTTGTAGTACAACAATATTAAAGAGAGAATATTACTGTAAGTAAACTCTGATCTCTGTGGCTGATAATTATATTTAAATCTGATAAATAATACTAGATAAGGGATTATTGAATGTCTATATTATAGAGTATAACTAATCTTCAGTATGGTTTCCGAGAGGCTTTATCCAGCTAGTATTTTTTCATAGAGTGTATCTTCTGCGTTACCATAGTCCAGTTTTGAGTAAAGATTATCTGGTAGTATTTTTATTATAATAACTATCCAGACCTCTAATCTATTTTTCTGGTAATTATATTATACAGCAGCCTTACCCCCGCTTTTCTTTATTATATTAATTAATTTTTTAAATAATAAATCTAGTTTTCTCAGGTTTTTTTAATAAGATTCTTTCTATTTCTTAATCTCAGCTATGATGTTCTCTACTTTTAGTGGTGCAAACACCTTATTTTTATGGTATATGCGTACTAGATTCAGAATCTGTAATATCTAGAGCTGGGGAAAGATTTTCTATATACTGATTAATTTATAAGCCATATATATTTTGATCTTAAGTATCAAGTCAGCTGTCACAGTTTAATCCTCATGTCTTAGCAGTAACTTAGACTGCCCCGAAGTACTACAGAAGATATATTTAAAAAGATGAAGAGATAATAACTAGATTATACTGGATAGATTAATCTGATCCATGCTGATAACAGGGGAATCTGATAACAGATTAATATATTTATCTGTTTTATAGTGAATAATGAGTCTGAGCCTACTAAAAAAGTAACTGATAATTTTATAGTAGCCAGTACTTCTGTTAACTTAGTCTCGGGTATATATTTTTTTAAACTTATAACTAAAGTTTATAAAATCTCTGGATCCGAGAAATCTAACTGTCTCGATCTTTGTATAATAGAAGATTGTTGTCTTGCCCGTGACTTCCACTTTAATAATAAAAGACTCAAGCTTATTCTTTAATAGATTAGAATTAATAAAAGATAAAAGCTTACAGATATTATTTTAATCTGTTATAAAATTAACAGTACTAATATTAAACAAAGGATAAATTATATATAAAATACAGAATAGAGATTCTAGAGAGCTTTCTGGATATCGAGCTGTATTTTAAATTATATAAATATATCCAGAATCTTTTGGTATATTTTAGGTATCTTTCGGTGGTAACTATAATAATAGGCAGCCCGGGATGGTAATAATAGAAGTCTTAGAATCTATTCAATTATAAGATAACAGGTGCTTGATATTTATAATTAATAATATAGTTTTTTTAAAATTTTTCAGATCTACACGAGAGATACTCGTTATCTTGATAAGAATTATTACCAAATAAATATAGCAATGCAGGAGTTATACATAAGTATCAAGGCAGGATAAAGAAATAGTAATATTTATATAATTAGATATCTGGCTTTTAAAGCAGTTCTTTTAAGAAGGGAATGCAAGGCTTGAATCTGTAAAAAGATTAAAAATTATCTAATTATCTGTTATATATCAGGGCCTGCTCTCGAATAATGACATCTTATGGTAGTTAACACGATCCAAGGTTTAGACCAGCGGGCATATACAGGGTAATAATATAATAGGGACAGCAGGTGTGACAGATATATTATCCTGCATATACTATTAATAGTAATATCCCGTATTCTATATTCTATAGTCATATAAATATCTTCTACCTGGAAGTTCAACCCAGCTTGTGCCGTTGTGGGTTTTCTGCACAACTGAAAGGTCCAAGGTATTGTGTGGAATTTGCCTGAGCCAAATGCAAATGGGATTCAACATTCTTGTCTACTGTCATGCCCAAGGGATTACCAGCAGATAGAAGCTGTAGGTTCCTCGCAAGGCTTGAGCTCTCGAGACGGGCACATACCTGGCCCCTCCTTGCCTACAATCGTCATGCACGGCGTATTCCTAGGGCAGTCTAGATGTCTGCGGTTGCGTGGCCCAGGAATTTCAATGTGGTATCACAACGCTTGCGGTAGCAACTGGATAGCCGAAAGGTATGTCAGCTCTCTGATACTATGAAGCTGTATCTCCATTACTGTTTTAAGGGGTTAGATCAGTCCCAATCCCTACCCATTTCAGTGATAGCAGTGGATCGGCTAATCGTTGGGTAGATTCTTTCATTCTCGCAGTACGGCACAAGGCCGCTTACTAGTGGTTATTGTGATAGTTCCTTGGAGGAAAGCAGAGCGCCAGGAATCTTTCTTAAGCTATGTCATCGTACGGAAGTGGAAAAATACATTGATAAGAGGATACAGGTGGAGTCCGACAGACTCCATCCCTTACATACCACAAGGCATGCGTCATTTGCAAATTCCTGACCTAGCCACTTCACAGGCCTCTAAACGCTGGGGAGAAAGCTATGGGCCTCTACTGCCAGTCCTCATTATTTAGCTGATCCCCAGATAGGAATGATCAAGTGCTGCCACTATGACTGACAACCAAAGCCATATCTCGGCGATGGGAATTAGACGTGACAAAACTGGTTTCACTGGATGCAATTCTTTGCTCCCACAATTGACTGAAGACAGGCGCCATCGAGTAGACCAGCCTGTATACATTGTGATATTCTCATGCCTAACCACTGGCTCGTCCCGTAGGCAACGGGAAGACAATAGGGCTAGCACATACCTGAGCCCCTGTCTTCAGAGTAACTCCTTGTCTCGAAACACGGGATGGGTTCGTGCTTATAAACTTATAGCGTTCTTCTTATCCAACTTGTCCTGCGATATTGTGTAAAAACTATTTTCCTTAACATTCTCATGCATCTTCGAACTGGTACTGAAGAACTTTCTCACCAACGCCCTGCGAGAGCTCTGCACTGAGCAGTTGGATCTTCCCAACTCGATCAATACGCTCCACTACTAAGGTGTGAGTCACTATACCTCCTTGCTGTAGATAATAGTATGTGGTGACAGTCATCCGTGCACAAATCCCGTCTTCGAGGCGATATCCAGCGCTGGGTTCCCTGTGAAAAGCATTCTGTATGCCCGATTTCCTACTCAGCTTGTTCTATGAAAATATTGCTACATTGGAGTTCGTGTGTCTGTGGTGCCCTACTACACCCGCAGTGATGTTAAGCAACGCTCGCTCAGGATTTTTGCGAGCACCTGGATAGTTTCAATGGTCCAAAGTACGGTTTATCTGATGCTTTTGAAGAGTTCTTGCGGCGCCTGATGTAACTATTTTGGGAATAACGCAATCGGGCTTACGGGAAGTATGTCTTAATTCAAAATTGTTCTCCCTGCAGGTCCGTCTTATAATTTCTGATTAGACTGGTAGACTTATAGAGCTAGGAATGGTGAACTTAAACAAGCCCATCCCAGCCGACGCCGGAATCAGCGAACTCATACCCTATCTCTGTCAAAAGCATACGCTCATATATACATCACAGAGGTTGATCTCATGAAGGGTAATGCGATGATAGGTACTCAGGAATCTGATTGCATACCTCCTTGCTTGCTCGAGTGGATATCTAGGCGCTCATTTCCAGTAGCGACAGCTGGACGACAGCAAAATCCTATGTAAGCAGGATCATCCATAAACATGATTTCGGACAGATCTACCAAGTCGAGGAATATCCCGGCAATTGTCTCGACGCGTTGTGTGGCGATTAAGCGGTATTGACCTTAAAATTAAATTTGGCCTTAAATTGAATTCTGAGCTCGGACTGTGACGCGACTGGGATTTGACGACTGTAGTATGGTGCTCGCAACGCCAGAACATTCTTCATTGTTGTCATGGGGAATACTTGAAAGGGGCGCGGTCGATTATCTGCATGCCCTATTCTTTGGATGGTCTACATCTTCAAGCTTTATCAGAACACCAATGCAACTTGGCGCACATTTGGCGGCTCCGTGTCGTCGGCGTTTGAACTGGCTGTGACTACCAAGCAAGTACCAAGCCGACCATCTACCTGCCCCCTTTTAAGGCTGTTTCGTACCACAGCCAAGATGTTCAGTCTCCTTTTTCTTTTGGACATGATCGAGCGCGCTACGTCAGATGCTAGCTATACACGTAGATTCTAGTGCTAGAGGAGGACAAGATGGTAGGGTGAAGGCGGACTATATTTGATTACTGCGGTAAGAAGACCCATAGCCAAATTTAACACCTCTCTGCTATCTTATCAGACACCGAGAAGAAACTAAGAGCGTTGCAAATGTATGTCAGGACGTGAAGAGATTGTCATCGGAAGACTTGGGTACCCTTAATTCATAGAACACGGGAGGTTTTCTCGATCGGTTTCCAACGCTGATGGTTATTCCGTCAAGAGAATTTCATTTCTCTAACTGCGCACAACTGTGCAGAAGGTTCCTCCGGAGAGAATGGCAAAAATTTCCTCGTCGATTGAGCGAGTCATAGCATTAGCAGTCCTGATTGATGAATATTTGATCCCGCGCACGCATGTACGAAACGCGCCGTAATTCAGAGAGCCCCATGGGATGACATTTTGGACACCTCGCTCCTGCAGATTTTTGTAGATCTGGACTGTCTTGTCTCTCACGGATAGATTATAGGCTTTCTTCGCTGTCTTTTCGTGTGACTCGGGCCCAATGTTTTCTATGGCATAACAGGTTCCTGCGAAAAGAGAAAACAAGGTGCTTCGGTATGGTGGGCCAAGGACGTTTGGATTGGCACCATTTGCAAGTAAAAGTTCCACGGTCTCAACATGTCCATGGTATGCTGCGGCTTGGAGGGCTGTAGTAAAGTTGCAGGCATCGCCATCCATCTCCCAAGCCCATTGGTGAACAGCTGCGATCGGAGAATCAACTGCAAGACCAATACCTAGAATTTCACGAGTCATGTCCACGCTGGAAACTGCTGCGACCAAAATATTACCTGCTAAAGGGCAAGTAGGATCACTCGGCTCAATTCGGGCACCCTTACTGATCATGCATCTAGCAATATCCAGCCAGCCATTATAGAGCGCCATGGCGAGCGGTGTATTAAAAAACCCCCAAGATCTGGATTCATGTCAGCCCCGTGCTCAATCAGAATGTTACAGATTTCACGGTGTTTATCAGAGGGCCCACCCTCCACTCCAGTCAGAGAGTATGCCAGAGCGCTACCTCTGATATGAGCCCCATTAGATAGAAGTAGCTCGACTGTTTCAACATTGCCAGACATAGTAGCTCCAGTCAATGCATCAGTTGCAATAGCGGGATCCCACGTTTCCCAATCGTCGACCTCTATCAGTCGGTTGATGTCTGCGCCACAATCCACAAGGACTTGGCAAATATGATCATAGTCCAATCGAGCTGCCACTATCAAAGGGATTTCGCCTTTTATTTCCTCATCAGCCACGGCCCCGGCGTCCAATAATAATTGGCAAATCAGGGTGGACGATCCACGTATGGCTTCCGTCAGAACACCAGAAGGACTAGCACCACTGTCCAGAAGATATTTGACTGGATCCGTATTCCCGCATCTGCATGCAATTGACAAAGCGGTTTTACCAAATTCTCCTCTCGAATTTATATCAGCACCGTCATTGATGAGAAGCTTTACTATCGACGTATGTCCGAATTGCGCAGCTTTCCTAAGTGCTGTACCGCTAGTGGGGTGGAATCTGATCATGTAGCACTCCTCACACGGCTCTTGTACTTGGAAACACTTGGGATCGAATCTGATGTCTTGTATCATATGAAGATCAGCTGGCCGTTGTAATGCGAGAAGATGGACCACTGACTCAAGTCCCAGAGCAGCTGCCCACCCCAGAGGTGTGCGAAGAGTCAATTATCGAGCAGCGCAACTAAAGGGTACATCGGGAATCACGTGGTTATATATCAATGTGACATATTTCCACTTCTCGCCCGACTGAAGGAGGGTGGATTCTAAAGAAGCCAGACTCATGTGCTCTTCACCTCCGGCCAAAATCGTATGCTCGAACCAATAGCGGAATGCATATTCAAGAAGGGGAAACTGTTCGAGATCCGTTCTACTGCCTTTTCGATTTTCACTGCAATAGCAATGATTACTTTATGCAATGCAGCTTTCCGCAATCAAAGCATGTGCTGAATTATCGTGGAAACCATATGATGAACAGGTGTCATGCTTAAGAGCCTCAGAAGTGAGAAACTCTTTGACTGAGAAATGGGAAAGAGCCAGGTACTTGTTGTCAATTCCGGTCCGGCGTACAAGTCCGGATAGACACGGCAAGATCCCTTCCCCCTCCAGTCTGTCTTCTTCTGCTATGACTGGCCTATTCTGCGGCACGATAGTACAGCTCTCGTTGACCTCGACTAGGCGAAGCGGTCTAAGGGAAAGTGAAAGCCATAGGAGGGCCCTTGCTGCTTCACTTGAAAGCAGGTAATGAATATTTTCTAGCATTCTGACGTACGTATCGTCAAGTCTCGGTGGCATAGTTTTCAAGATATGGTCGATATCTTTCAGTCTGGGCGTAGGTAGTTTCGTGTGCTCTACCATCTGAAGGTGGACCCATGGAAACCTGCGAGGTCATTGTGAGCGATGTCTATCGTTTCAAGTGCTTCGACAAGAAGCAGGGTCTCCTGCTCCTGGCCAGCACGAAACACGGTCACCTTCATGGCAATATCACCCTTCAGGGACGCTTGAGGAACAGGATACCGACGATGACACCGAATTAAAATCCAGTCATGAGGACCGGCAGCGAGACAGACAGTAAGTTCCATGACTGTAGGGGTTAGCTTTTATCCTCTTCCCGTCATCCTGGCGTAGGCAATGAACTCACCATAGAGGATAGGGCCCGGAAGTAACCGATTGACTGGACAAAGATGTTGGTCTTCTCGGCGGTCAATTTGTTGAAACCGGTCCGCTTGCGACGAGGCTCGATGTCGGAAGCCCGCTGACCAGAGGGTATGTTGGTCTCGAACCGCTCTTTAGGGCAGACAAAAACGGCCTCGACGCCATCACCACTCTTCTTCCCGAAAGCGTACCGGGGCTTCTTGTCCGCTGCCTTGGCGCCCAGAGCACCAGCAGAAGAAGTCAATCCACGGCGCTTGGCCTGGGCGATGGATGTAACGGTTGAGCAGAGTGTACTCATCAAGAGCAGCTCCTTCATTTATATCAGGGGAATGTAGACCGTTCTTCTCCATGTTACAAGCATAAGAGACCGTCCGCTCTGTCGTGTTTTCTTTTCTTTTCTCTTTTGGGAAATTTGGGTCGAGTTCTCCTGGATCACATCCCCGAAATCCTCACGTACTACGCTCCGAGGGTCTTTGCACGTTGGCTGAAGGAAACATCACATATTCTGCTAAAGTTTAGCTTCTATTGGTACCAGTCCGTCTCCCGATATGGAAAGACTCCATGGTACCGGCCATTACACTAGCTTTCGCGAGCTTGATCATCCCTTATCTTTCTCGCACGTGGGACTACCGGCCAGGGGTTATGCCTCGAAAAAGCAGTTATTCTGGAGCAACGCCGTACTCAGCCTGGAATCGATCAGTGGGCGTCCCCCATACCAGTAATCGGGCAGTCGAGACATGCCTTCTGCTCTTCTAGCCATCCAGCCAGGCACGCTACTGTCAAGTTAATCCACATATATGAGATATTTTATACAGACTCGCTTATCGTTGCTCGGCAGTGGTAAAGGGAGAAACTCAACTGTGTGGCGGTGGCATTCCGGACACTTATGGCCAACGACTGTTGCTATCTACCATTGGGCTTGATGTTCTGCCCGGGCAGAAAATGGCGCACCATCAGCTTCAGTCTTGGCTGATGTCACTCTATTTCTTTTTGCTGTCTGCTTTTCCGTCAAAACATTGAGCTCGCCTCTTTACGTCGGCAAAGATATTGCCTATTATCATCCTCTCAGGAGGGCGGATACTCATATGTAATGAGCCCACAGAGCTTGGGTTGCGTGGTATACAATAACACTTTAAGGGGCTGTCGGAACGCGCGGAATTTTCGTAGGCACGGTCTTCCCGTGGGCCCCCCTTCGTGGCCCCCGAGACGCTCGCGGCATCCCCAAATAATACCCAGCCAAGTTTGCTGTTACCTCCTCCTTCCATCGTACCCTTCCTCCTTCTCCTGACTTTTTACAGCCACACGTTGCTTTGGAAGCCGAGATAGGCTCGTTCCGGTGGCCACAGTTTGAGTCATCTATCATGTCCCGCACATCGTCCCATGTCTTGGCGCCCCTGGAGAGGAAGAAAACGGATGTGACGTACACTTATGAGGGCGTGCGCGGATGGAAAGGCGTGCGCTTCCTACGACCTTTCCGCGGAATGTATCACGATGTGCGAAGAAGGTTATCTTACTACTGGAGTGATATCAAAGACGCTTGGGACTATCGCACTATTGCCAGTATTGTGCGGATGTATTTCGTCAAGTATGCCATCCACACCACTCTCTGATGAAGGTGACCCGGACCGGTGCCGGCTTACTAACCGTGTACCAGCATCCTGCCCGCTATCGCCTATACGATGGACATGTACCGTCGCACGGGAGAGTTTTATGGCATCAATGAGGGCCTCTTCTCTTCGGCTCTGGCGGCCATGGTGTTCAGCATCTTGGGAGCACAACCGTTGACTATCGTCGGGATTACGGGTCTGATCTCTCTCTTCAATTACACGATCTATGATATCGTCAACATCTACGATCCGTCCATATATCCCAACTTCATGTGTTGGACGGCCATCTGGGCAGCTGTTTTCCACTGGATAGTAGCCGTGTGTAATCTGTGCGATTACATGCGGTATGTGACGGATTTCTCCAGTGAAGCCTTCGGCATGTATGTGGGCATTATATATTGCAGCAAGTTCCCACTCCTCGTGTTTTGCCCCACATTCTAACCCGCATCGCAGTCAAGGGAGTGGAAGAGTTGGTCAACGAGTTCACCACCCACGGTCGCGATGCAGGCTATTTGGCCTGTATGATTGCCATCCTCTATTTCTTGACGATCTATGCGCTGGAGAAACTAGGCTCCAGTACCATTTGGAAACCTTCCGTCCGGGGCTTGCTAGCTGATTACGCATATCCGGTAACTTGACCCCTACACTGTCGCACGGATGGCGCCTTCTGTTCCCCCTCCCGTTGTTACCTGTCGTCGCAGCCACCTTTACGGTTTGAAGCCAGGTGGGCTAATAGATGCAGTTCGGCACGCTCTTCTGGGTAGGTTTCGCGCATTTTCCAGGAAACCTGAAATCTACTCATATTGGGTTTCTGCCGATCTCGCGTGCCTTCTATCCTACCCAAGACCGAGGCTGGCTCCTTCATTTCTGGGATCTTGAGGCCAAGTGGATTTTTACTGCCTTGCCGTTTGGGTTTTTGACCATGCTCCTGTTCTACTACGACCACGTAAGTGTTCCGAATATCATCTGACCGCTCAAGGCTCGTGACGCAGCAACATGGACTCCGAGAGGGGCTAACCCACATCCTTGAACAGAATATCAGCAGTCTGACCGCTCAGGCGCGCCACTTTCCGCTGAAGAAGCCCTCCGGGTTCCACTGGGACTTCTTTCTATTGGGTTGCACCACCTTCATTGCAGGCATCATAGGGATCCCTATGCCAAATGGTCTTGTCCCACAGGTACTGTCCCTAATTTGCTCCTCATGATAAAGGGACAGACTGATTCAGTGCAGGCTCCAGTCCACACGGACTCCCTAACGGTCTACGAGACGACCCTCCGGGTGATTTCAACCGAAGAAGGTGAAGGTGCCGAGATTCGTCGTCCCATCAACGATGCGAAAGCGGTCATTGAGCAGCGTATCTCCCACTTGGTCATGGGGTTGGCTATTATTGGTACAATGACCGGTCCCTTACTGATAGTGCTGCATACAATGCCCACCGCTGTCTTCGCAGGCGTTTTCTTCACTGTTGGCTGGGGCTCCATAGAATCAAATGGAATGGTACAAAAGACCATCTTTCTCATGCGGGAGAACCGGTTCGTTCAGCGGGACGAGCCTCTACTCACGGTCCGGAAGCGGAAGATCTTGCTCTTTATCGTGCTTCAAGGGATTGGTGTTGCTGCAACTGTGGCTATCTCCCAGACTATCGCTGCTATCGGTTAGTTCCTCTAAAGCGACCCACTAACTACTTATGATACTCCGTCCATCTCTTGCCCCGATGCTGATTTGCGGACTTGCGGACAGGGTTCCCCGTGTTGATTATCCTTCTCATTCCCCTGCGTGTATGGGCTCTTCCTAGGTGGTTCAGCGGGAAGGAGTTGGACGTCCTTGACGACCTCACAGCGGACAATAGCGCGGTCCTGAGCAGCTTGGGCGGTCCCCCCAAGTTTCCTGGTCAGACCGAGCCCACCCATGAAGGTTTGGAACGCAGGTATTCGGAGCAACGGACGGGCGTTCCGCGCCAGAGGGCGGGAAGCATCACCCGCTAAATGCTAGCAGCTCGTTTATATCATATCACGGCGCGATGCACGGTATTTGTGGCAACCGCGTCGTGTGCTCTTCTAGAGGCTGTTGTGTCTACGCTTTTACTTCCACCCTTTGGAGGTGATGGTAAATTGCCCATACGATGCCGTTCTGTCATAGTCCTGTAAACGTATTTCTCGGTGACCATCCAGCATGATCACGATAACTATTATGATCCAGTTTGCGTCATCGGCGAGGCTCATAGGTCATTGACCTATTGATGAATAAGACTGTAACAGGGGCTGTCGGCTCCCCGCATACTACAGCCATACCGCAGAAACCCTGTGGGAAAGCATAGATATGTTCCACCTCGCTTAGCTGGACCTCTCCTCCTCTTTGGTCCACCGAAGGATATCTTCAAATACGTCCCTTGCCCTACAAGCAGCATGAACGTGCTTTCTTAGCGTCTCTGGCCGTGAAGAGCGGTGAGAGGTCTCCGAATCAGGTGGCGCAACGTCTGGCTCCAACGGCGTCTTTAAGAGCGTGCGCGGAGGCCTCATGTTCCCAAGGATTGATTACGAAGGCTGTCTCGGAACTACCAGCAAACTCGCTAACCACCAGCGCGCCGGGGTCTGGATACGCCGCGGAGTGTGGCTGACAGCGGAAAAAATTGTGCGTCACGAGATTCATCGCCTCTTGAAGATTGATGACTACACAGACTTTGCTGAGTGCCAGAAGAGTCAGGTACTGAGCGCAGGGTATTCCATGAGTGAGGAGCACTACCGGTTGGTACGTCCAGCTCGCACGATTCCAGTTGATCCGCATAGCAATCAACGAAGCTTGGGAGAAGATGTTTGATGACCCGGGACAAGGCAAAGCGACCTGCACCAGCACGGCCTGTGACAGGCACGTAATTGAACTGCCAGGAAACAAGAACGGCGGGTTTCTACAACCTTTCCCACCCATTCAGGGTACGAGCTCAGGCAATTTCGAGGTCCTATTGCGCACTACCCATCACTAGGTTGAATGGAAACAAAACTGAACATTATGCTGTGCCCCGGCCCCCTTATATGGGGAGTGTTGAAGGTTGACTGTTATTTCCATGTAGAACGCGCGCATCAGTATCGTCGATTTGAGGAAAACCGACATTTGACGGTGAGGCCCGAACATGGCAGCTTTCAGCGGGAGCGTTCTTCAACACGCCGGCCATCTAGCTGCTAAGAGGACCTTAGCCCAACTACTGTAGTGGGTCAAGGTATAGAATCACAGTCGTTCTGGTTTAATAACTGTGTTTTCATCCTGTTATCATGAGGATTATCGATGATCAACAAGGTCAACGGACTGTTTTGCCCGTCCACGCGCCCGTCATCGAACGTGATAGTTGCGCCGACCGGCCGAATGGCTTCAAGGTTTGATGACCCACAGCAACCCGGCCAATCATGAGGTCGTGTTCACCATGATTGAATCAACCGAGTTCGACTCAGGCAGAATTGCTCGCTGGCCTTTGGGCAACTATCTTGCAAAACTTAGACTGCAAGACACATCAACATGGAATGTAACGTAAAGTCAGGACTTCGATGGGATCACCCCTAGCTTCTCACCGGGTAACCACGTTTGGTGGATCACTGTATCAAGGAATTGAACCTGACCTCTCAAGTAGCATCAAAGTCCCTTGCGAGATACGCGAGACACCATTGGGACGAATGAGATGACATTGCCCCGGATGGGCGGGTTCCCTTTGTCTCGTCGACTTTAATTCTAGTACTCGAATTTCTTCGTGTCGGTGAACCGACACGCTCGAATAGCGTTCAATCTCCCTGACTAATCTCCCTGACTGGGATGCTTTTCTCTAGTCACTTTAGCTTGGAACTTAAGAATCAAACATGTCCTTCAGGAGTGTGGCCTGAATTGGCTCCCTAGATGGAGAAGGTTAAAATGAAAGGGATCAAACCTTCATCTTGGGTTTGAGAATCCCTGAGCGTCTTCGGGCGATCACGCCGACCAGCACCAGTGGTCATCGCCAGCATGGAGTACCGGTGGGCAACATACATTAGTGCTGTACTCAAGAAATATCCTAGTTATCCGACCACGTGGCTGTTGGCGAGATCAGCAGGTTTCGCTACGGCTGTTCTTGCCTAAATATGTATTCCTGCCGTACTGAAGACCAGATTTGTGATTCTATCAACACAAAATGCCACCCTTGCGGGAAAATTTACGGGTGAACGGAAGTCATAAACTGCTGGCCTGGCTATGACACGTATGGTAGACAACCATTTTACGAACCAGTTCAGCCCTGTTCATTTCAGCTACGGGTTGTCCATCGCAAGCAGTCCCACGTGGCTATTATTGGCCACTGAAGTTCTAGAGGTAACGTTAAAGCTGCCTTTTGCTGTTATGTGAATGGGGTCATCAGGATTTATGATCTGAAACGGCTAAGCGACTCCTGCCATTTACTCAGAGTGCTTCTCCAGGAATAGGCGATCTGGAATACCCATCGTGCAAGATCGGGATCGAGTCTTTTTAATAGGTGGTCGCAGTTGAGTCATTGTAGTCCAGCTGTGTTCTAATCACAATACCAGGTCAAAGCCAATTACTATGGTTTAGGAAAAGGAGGTAAAATAGTTATGGAAGATTTTTACGGACGTATTGGACATGTGAAGAATGCCTAGTGGCTCTGTATGGGATTCGAGGATACTAGTATTAGGATTCTTCAGCAACAGCCGGGATTCGCTGGTCGTACCCATCTACCCACCAGTCAACTGCTACGGTACTATTGAAGCACACCTGATACTAGCGTGGAGTTTCAAGTCTCTGGATACGCTATTTGAATCTACGATGAGTCTTGATCAGGAATATGAGGCGCTGCAAAGGGACCTACAGCGGCAATAAGTTGGCATTTAGCGAGCTAATATCAGACTGGATAGTATCGTAACGAATTCTCAACATGATGGCTTATAGAAAACTATTCGCTCGACTTAACGGTTGCTACATTCCAGACTGACAAAGGTCGATTAGTCGAGTATTTAATTAACTGCATTCGACCACTGTAACTACTCCTGTTGTCTGTGTGGTATCTGCTGTATACTATACTTTGCCCAAAATACAGTATCGCGACTATCGACTAACCTAGCGTGAATACTGTATCCGGGCAGTGCTCTTTTACGAAGCCCCTATACAGCCTCCGAAAGAGAGCCTCTTTGCGACGCCTTTTTGGACTTTCGGAAATATATCCTTTTGGTCCATTTCCAACCCTCCACACCGAGGAAAAATAGGACGGTCTCCACGCCAACAATTCCCCACTCCCATGATATGCCAGTGTGCTTAAAAACATCATGATTGATAACAGGGATATAGAGAACAGGGAATACCAAGACAAAGCCTGCTAGGATTGCCCAGAACAGAAACTTGTTCCTCCAGACATCGTACACCCACTGAGTGAAATATCGCTTCGAGTTCGGTTGCATACGAAAGAACGATCGGCGCATGTCCACCATTTCCCAGGCGAGGAATAGGGCAAACCAGGTAAGCGAGACAAAGGTAGTTGCGCGTGCGCGAAAGACAGGTTCGCACAGCGAGTTAAAATCTCGGTTGCAATTGAGACCGAGGTCGCCGTTGCCAAATCCCCATATGACTAATGAAAAAGAACAAAGGCATAGGGCGGCCATCCAAAGACCATATACAAGGATATCAACAAGCACCTCGCATGTGAAAATACCTTTTTTCTGATGTGTAACTTATTAGCACCGGCCATGAGTTAGGTTTTTGGGATAAAACGCACGCTTTGCGGGGGGCGATCCATAATATCAGGCGCAGCAATTTCCATGCCAAGGCCCATATCCGGTAAACCAGAGGTAATCATGATTATCCATAGGATCTCTACTGGCGATAAAGGAAAGACCGACTGAGCACTCGCATCCTTGAATGCCAGACCAATTAAAAGGGTGCATGCCTGGGCAACATTCTCGGCTAGTAAATGCAAGACAAACCTCTGAATGTTATCAAAAATCCGGCGTCCTTCTTCAATTGCGTTCAGAATAGATGCAAAATTGTCATCAGTTAGTACAATGTCTGAAGCATCTTTAGCCACATCAGACCCGCTTTGTCCCATGGCGATCCCAACATCCGCGATTTTCAGGGAGGGGGAGTCATTCACGCCATCTCCTGTCATTGCCACGAAGCGTCCACGCCTGTGGAGTGCATTAATCATTTTCACTTTAGTCTGCGGGGCACAACGGGCGATGACTCGGGGTAGAATAGGAAGAGCGTCAATCTCCTCCTCAGATAAATTGTCGAATTGGCCACCTGTGAAGACCATACACCGTGCAACATCCGCAGAAAGTTGCGGAAGATCCTCCGTTAATATGCCCACCTGCTGAGCAATCTTTTCCGCGGTTCCAGGGTGATCGCCTGTTAACATGTGCACCGATATGCCGGCATGGTGACATAACAGGACGGCTCTAGTTGCCTCAGGTCTGGGCGGGTCGTAGATGCCCAGCAGGCCCAAGAAGCAAAGATCTTTCTCGACCTCCTCCCGGTTATCCGTATCGGGGACAGAGGTTCTCGTTGCAAGTGCAAGAACTCGAAGACCCATGTGCGTCAGGGATTCCATATTTCTCTTGATCTCTCCGCGATCCTCGTCGGACAGAGGTCTCGGCGCGGAGTTTTTGTTTGACGCGATGTCTGAGCATCTCTCCAGTATTCGCTCGACAGCGCCTTTTGTGAATGCCCGTGTCTTCTTATCGGCATTATTGGCGTATACAACTGACATCCGCTTAACATCGGAGTCAAAGGGGAACTCCACTTTCTGCGTCCATTTGGCATTTTCACCTTTGGTCCAGCGGTCCTTGTCCCAGGAGAATCTAGCTGCGAAGACTTGAATGGCAATCTCAGTTGGCTCTCCCCGGGCATGCCATTCTCCACCGTCGTCACCTTCGTGCGTTTTCCTATAAACATGGGCGAGGTTTGCCAACGAGCAGACGTTGAGGTATTCTTCGAGCCCCTCATCGTCTTTCAATAGTTCGTGGGGTTCTTTTATCTCTGCAGTCGTCTTCCTATCAATGCTGCTTGGGGCTAATTTTTGGAAACCGATCTCGCCAGCTGTGGGATTGAACGGTTCATTGGTGCCCTCCAAGGAATAAGTTCCCCGCGACGCAACCCACGCCCGTTTCACGATCATTTTGCCTTGCGTCAATGTTCCTGTCTTATCCGAACATATGTCTGTCACAGCCCCAAGTGCCTCGAGAGAGCTTAGTTTTCGGACAATAACATGGCGTTGTACCATCCGCTTCGTGCCAACTGCCATTGTAATGGTAAGTACCACCACAAGACAGGCAGGAATCATGCTAAGTCCTGTTGCCACAGCATAGAGGATCACCTCATTATTGTCCCTCCAGTAGTTCGCACTCATCACAACAATAGCGAATACTACTGCAATGCCAAAGAGAGCAACTGCCAACCTGGACAGCTTCTTCTGTAGAGGGGTCCCAATGTTCACTCCAAGAAACCGACCAATTGTATCAAAACCAGTCAAGATCCATGCTTGGATGTACCATCGCTTTCTGGTCTCACCACCCGGTCCACGCTTCACGGGCCGGTGTTTGCGTTGGCTTCCGCGCAGTGCGGAAGCAATCTTCCCGATTTCTGTTTCCATGCCTGTTGCAACAGCAACACCCCTTGCTCGCCCCCTAGTTACAGTGCTTGAGCTATACGCAATATTCAGTCGATCACCTGGTCCGGTATCCTCATCGAATATCCCATCGGAGACCTTTTGAACAGGCAGCGACTCTCCAGTCAAGAGTGCCTCATCTGTTTCAAAATTGGCAACCTCAAATAGCCTGGTCATCCAAATGTTAGAGCATATTCCCCACATCTGCTAGACGGGGTAGCAACAGCCGCACCTCAGATCGGCCGGAATCATATCCCCGGTCTTTACCTCAACAATGTCTCCCGGCACGATCTCCACGGCAGGAATGATGGCTATATGACCATCCCTTGACACGGTCCCGCTTGGTGTTGTCAGTGATCGTAGAGATGCCATTGTTTTTTCCGCCGCGTACTCCTGGAAGAACCCGACGACGATATTCAACATAATAATAGCGGCGATAACGCCGCCCTCGATCCAAGATCGAATGCCGAAACTGACAGCCATGGCTAAGATCAATACCTGGCAGCAGACTTTAGAACAGTACATGTACTTTCCCAGAGTATTGGACCAGGCCGGTTAAGCAAGTCATCGGAGCTGAACTCACAAGCATCATCGCATTTGCTATTTGTCGCAGCAATATTTTCCAGATGGAGACGCCTTCACCCTCATCCAATCGGTTATACCCGTAGGTATCAAGACGTGAACGGGCTTCAATGCTTGACAGGCCATCGTCTGCGTCAGTTGAGAGTTGCTCTAGGACTAAGCTGTACGGTAAGCAATGAGGGGGCTGGCGTAACCCTGGGCCTTTGTGCTTTTCGGCCCCTTCATGTGAATTTTCCATCAATAGACGCACACGCAAAAAGACAATAACTGCGACCACCTTTTTTCCCTATTGGGTACTAGAAACTAGGGGATTGTTGACTTCGGAAAGAACGCCCTCCTTTCACGACACCGGTTGCAAAAGAATACCTGTTGAGAGGAGTTATTAGTCTCGGCACCGTGCAAGTGTCCTCCTTGAAAAGGCAACTTAAAGCAATTCCCCTTGGGACAGCAGGGTTTCGCGGACTGTTATGGTGACATCATTGACATTAACAGTTACTGTCCGTCAGAGTTCAAGTTCCCGAACCAAGCCGATCCATATCTTTCGTAATGTGGTTCAACCTTTCAGCTCACATTCATTTACTGTTGGTGTAATTCTGGTACGTTCCGCGGGTCCGCATATCTTGGATAATCCGGGCAAATCTGAGCGGACAGTAATGGGTGGCGCCAAAGTAGACAAACACTGCAAACTCTGAAAATTCAAAAATAAAAGTAAACAAGCAGGAGTGGGGCAGATCTGGTCCAAGCGAAGAGACGCAACAATGCAAGATGAAGCCAGCCACCTGTTTCTTTAACATCCTGTGACGCTTATGGAAGACGAAACCTCTCAGGCCCGTATCTCCCCCCAAAAGACCTTCATAGACTTAGGATAACAGTTCTCTTAGGAAAGATTATCGGCTACTGCCTCATAGGTGTCGTTCCTGCCCTCTTGTGCATGTTTATTATCATCTTGAGGTTACAATCACGCCGACGAGCTCGCCGCGAGTCCACCTCTCCGAACAACAGCACTCTCAATGCCCCAGGCTCTTATAGGGGAAGACAGAGAAAAACACTCTCCAAGGCTGCGTTGGAAGAGATTCCCATGTACAAGGCTGGGGATTTCAACACACCAAGAATGACCAGCGGTAGCTCTGATGTCGAAAGGGGTAAGGATCCGAGGCCAGTCGAACAAGCAGCAACCAGGTTAACAATAAATCAGGTCAGGATATCTCCGACCAAGTTCGTGTATCGTGGAGGCCAGATAGCTCAGTGGTATGTTACTCATATATATAGTATTATCATGCTAATTCATATTAGCCTTGCTTGTCGTCGGAGATTAACCTGACTTGTGCTGTGTGCGCCGAAGCCTGTACAAGAGGCCAGCTCATACGAGACCTCCCTTGCCATCATCAATACCATGCTGAATGTATCGATGGTTGGCTGATTAACATATCAGGATCTTGCCCCCTGTGGTATGTTTTGGGCGCGGATGATTTTATTCCCCGAGTAATCGGTTCTGACTAGGTCATCTTAGCCGCATGGATCTAAGGAATCGTCGAAGTCAAGAGAATAATAGCCACCAAACTAGCAACATAAGTGATAATCCTGTCCGACCTCAACAAGCTGTTATCGCGCAGCATCCATACTCAAGATAGATCGTTCAATACAGGAGCCCACGTTAAGAAGAACTCTGGGTGCGATCACAGACCATTGCAAGCCATGATAGGTTACTATAATAAGGTTTGGGTGCAAGAAGTTGATCATTGGCAGAGGAGCTTTTGCACGAATACCACACCGTATAACCTGCCAAGTTCAGTCATGTATAGTTATTTGAAGAAAAGAGCCGTTGGGGGGCTCGGTCAACGATTGACTTATGCCCTTTCTTAAATTTGAAGGTACAGCCTCCAGCAGCAATATGAAATAACTGCCACTAAGATAACAGCCACCATTCGCCCACTAGAACTCCTCGGCCGACATCCTCTGCTGTCGATAGAGGAAGCCATGCCATACTCCACAGTGCATAGAGATCCGAAACGGCGTGGGTGTAGCGAACATTGTTGTTTCACGGATCTAATGCGGTTTGACTGCCATGGCGGTTGCTGGTTCTAATTATGATGGTGTAAATCTTAGTGCTCCATATGTCAATGTCGACTCTCCGCCACGTAGATGGTCATACATTTTCCTTTTGAATGAATGTTAAAATGGAGAAAAGACAGGAGTCCATATCTTGTCGATGATCCATCAGTGGTATACTAATCATACTAATGAAAGCAAACTGGGAGTGGTACGAAGAGCGCAACCTCAGCTACTGAGTGTTTCTCAAAACCTGGATCAGGATATCCTGTATTACATGGCCTGACCTATGCGCCCATACAAATTCTCCAGTGTTAAATATAAGATCGCCACATTCCTGCCAAGATGATTGAGTTAAGGCTGCAGAATTTCTACCGCTCATACATCCACCCGAAGTGTCGTTGAGAGTCCAGGAAGATCAAGATTGGTATGAATGCGGTTACCATCGTCACTGAATACGGGAATATTGCAGGATGTCTATCTGGCGTACGTGGGAATGTGAGACAGATCACCAGTACCAATGATTATCACTCGAGCCGGTCCGAAGGAAGGGGGTATATTCGAGAGAACCGGGGTGTTGTGCAGCTGGCTTGACAAGGAACGAACAAACTTCTTAAAGCAGGAGCATTTAAAATGTCTGACTGTAATCCAGGATCAGCACCTCTCGGAGGATAAAGTCTCGCGCAATAGAATTAGTGCAGAAGAACGACAATAACCGTATGCACCCCAGCCTTAGACGCGACCACATCTCGAGGCCGACTGACGTTCCCATGTGAAGATAGGATATTGAAATCTTTGGCCTCAGCGAGGGTTTCGGTGTCGGAAAGTGTATGTCGAGACCTTAGAAAAGACTGTCATTTTCTGCTATGTGTAATGTGCGGTAACCGCAAATTTTGATGCAGTCAAGCAGTCCGTAGGTAGTCATTGATACATCATTAGACCATTTTGGTATAAGATACCGGCATAATAACGTCCATTCCATGAGATCTCAGTATCTGAATTAGCAGAGTCCTCTAACAGCTGCTGGAATCAATAATCGTGCATTGGTGCTGCTCTATCATGTGACGTTTTATTTGGCGTCATCCGTTACGTTGATGTTTTATATAATCCTCTCGCCTTGGGTCGATTGTAGACTACGAGGCCACTAGACTAGCTGCGGAATTCGTGGGTTGGTCCAGTAGTGATATTTAACCTCGATCGATATGCAGGGTGCCACTATCCATATGTACATCCCACAATCACCGTAAACTATTAGTTTTTTAACGAACTTGGAGCCTTGTCAAGGCCTTTGGTAGCCGGTGCCTGGAGTTGTGGGGTTTGTGGTGTACGTAGACCTCGCCAAAAGGCGGGTTGGGTTGGGTTTGCATTTTCTGAACCCGCCCACGGGTTACCCAGGCTGGGCTTCGGTCCCCAACCCGCCCAAGGTGTTGAAGTGAGAATAGATTGATTGATTGATTGTTGATTACGTGGGGAGTTATCTTTTACAAGGGCGGGATAGCACATATTTATGTCGGGCCCCATCCCTGCCATAAGGTTCACCCACCATGATACTCATCACAGCCACCATGATATTCAATACGGGCTTTGGCGAGCTCTAGGTGTACGTGTACCGCCCTCGTGACTCGCGACATTGAAATCTCTTGTAATGCCTCAGCACAGTCCAGTACTGCCCCTAGGACGCTACTGTCCTACGGAACATTTTATAACTTACATACCTTACCTTCGTTTGCTCCTCCCAGCATCTCAAAAATATTTTTGAACGGCCCTTCAATAATTTATTGGCCTAGCCCCTTGAGCCGCAGGAAGTTAATCAATCCTCCCGGTGCATGCCGTATTTGTGCCTGATGTATATCTCGGCCGCGAGATCAAGGAGAAAGATCAAGGTAACTCATACAGCACCATGGTTGCAGGTCAGAAGTATTAACCAGTTATCTGAAATGCTAATGCATGTCTTGGGTCCGATACGCTTGTAAGCCAGATCTAGAAGATATGCAAAGTCTGTAACAAGGACAGCGTTCTTACAGACATAGCATGCGAAAACATAAACATAGATGCTACGTGGGATCTTCCGTCGGAGTATATACTTAGCCATAACAGGCAAGAAGGTTAAGGTCATAGAGACAAAGAGGATGAAGATAGAGAAAACGCGGGCTCTCTATAAGACTGTTATTTATCATTTTCTGAAACTGTATAGTGTGTCTCCTTTGCTGGCAGTGTGGAGCTTTATGGCAGAAGTGTTGAGGATAGTCATGGTGGACCCAATAAGAGGAGTGCTGAAGTAGAAGACTGGGGAATAGTGTTGACTGGAAAGAAAATTGCTAAAAATAATCTGTCATCCCCTAGCATGATCGGTGTGGATTTTGAAGTGCAACTGAAGGCAATAGTGATACCTAGGGTGAGTACCTGGACTGATGTTGTACGGTTGCGCGGATCTTAATTGTCATTCCTTCTTTTCCATCCTATTCTGAGCAGAGTGGGCATCTTCCAAACTGTCTGAGCTGGCCTCCTTGGCCAGATTGTAGTTGGCATGGCGTACTGGAATCACCTCGTGAATATTTATTTTCTAAGCAGATTGGGAGAGCGCATTTCTTTTTCTGGGTTATATTGCTCCAATTTTGTCATCTCTAAAGGTTCGCCAATGCCTACCGCGAGGTATCCTTAAGGGGTAATACCTATTTTAGGAGGTCCTGGCGCTCGGGTCGATCTCCTGAAGGCAACATTGTTGCTCACCATGCACTGTGCTGCAACAGGTATCAGCCCTGACAATCTCCAAGGGGGTTTCCTAATCTTCTTTTCATGTTGTTTACAGGGCACTCAGGGTTGCTGACTCGGTGGCACAATAGATGTGCTTTCGCCCGTCAAACAAGACGTACTATGATTCGCTGCAGCGCGATTGCCACGTACACTGTTCCATTTGATATATGTAATAGGTAACCGAGAAGACCAAAAAGCCCGTTGGCAGTATTCATGCTTTTCCTTGATTGCTGATGTGCATAAGATCGATTTTTCGGTGATTATTCTACCTTGATGACTCCCTTTGATGCCAGACTTGGCGGTTAAGCCGCGAACACCTATCAGAGTGACCGAGGAACGAGAGGCTCTGTTTCTGCTGCAATAATCAGTGGGCTTCTTCTTTCTCGCACGACATCATGCCATTTTATTCTCATGTAGCTATGCTTCCATCATGTACGGTCCTGCGGCGTTGAACTGATTCCGAGTGCGAGAGTGGGGTTGCAGTGCTATGAGACTGTTGGAGCAAGTCAACCGGAGTGACCGCCGGGTTTTGAGTCGAGCTGTTGCTGAACGCATCTGATATGGTTCTCGGAAGATGGTACCCCGCCTTCCTAAAGGTATCGCAAGTCCGCGTATAACCTATTTGGTAAGTTAGATATTGTGGCGGAATGCTCTTCAAGGCACATACTATACTGCAAATAACTAAAAACCAAACAATGACGTCAAGTACCTCTGAAAGACGTTGAGCATCGGCACGGACTTCACCGTCCACCGTGATATTACTTAGCGACTCTCGGCAGACGGAAAGATAAAAGACAGCGCCGACGCCAATAGGACCAAAGAAGCCCACGAACGCCGCTTGAGTCAGTTTTTCAATTTGATGGATACTTCAATGCATTGCGAGAATAGGAGGCATTCGCCTTATGAGCAGAATCAGAACGCCGAGGAACACCGGCGGTAGAGTGGAAAAAGCGAATTTGTAGCGGGGCAACAAATTCGCGGATAGGGTTCCCGGTCTTGATTATCCTCCTTATTCCCCTTCATGTATGGGCTTTTCATAAGTGGTTCAGCGAGCAGGAGTTGGATGTTCTTGACGACACAGCGGACAATAGTGCTGTCGTTGGTAGCTGGGCGGCCCTCCCAAGTTCCCGTATCAGACAGCGACCGGCCATGAGGGTTTGGAGCGCAGGTATGCCGAGCAACATGCTGGCGTTCCCACGCCAGAGAGCGGGAAGCATCACTGGTTAAGTACTAGCAGGTCGTTATATCTCAGATTACACATTACTGCACTAGACTCCAGGCGGTCTATTGCATTCCTTGCTCATCAAGTACGTGAAGGCTGTTAGTCTGCGGTTAGGTTCCCATAACTCATAGACTGCGGTGGATTGCCCATATAATATCGCTCTGCTGCGACATATAGTATTTTCCTAGACTCCCATCCAGCAAAACACGATAACTTCAAAACCAGTGATTCGCGATCTCATTTATGATGGCGTTATCATTTATGCCATTTGTGACACCGTCGTTTACTAGTGCAATATCATATCCATCCCCGCGGAGCTGGACTTTCCGTAAGAATGGCTGACCTGAGAGTCATTCAATTCTAGATGGTCGGTGCATGTTATAGTGCACGTCGCAACGTAGTCGTTCTATCCGTCTTCATCCACCGTGAGCCCCTGGCTTCTAAGATTCGGCTTCTGTCCACAGGATTGGACGGCCTGTGTGATTCCGTCAACAGTTTGTGAACGAACCTAGCGCCGAATGAACAGCGTTACGTACGCTTTTGGGCTTACTACGATATACACTTAACCTTCATTGTCTCACTAACTAAGCTTGATATGAATGTCGCCGAGGATCACGGCCGCCAGGGCTCCCCTGATCAAATGCACTAAACAGGTGCGACTGTGACTCCATACTTAAGGCGTGTCCTGTTCAAAAGCGCCTCTTCCTCTGCGTATCTTTTCCTGAGTTGCGCTCAAACTTGCGGCCAAGGAGTATCTGTTCGGTATGAATACTAACAATAAGATGGACATACATCATCAAGATCGTACTGAGGACTTTTTCGAAAAGTTTCGTCAGTGGTTATTAACAGTCGTTTGATGTCAGTACACCCAGCCACCCTGTTCTTTCGTCAAGGAAATAATTATCAATGACAAATCAAGATACAAACCGGTGCTGCTAGAGCTGTGTTGACATAACTACTTAACATTATTGATGGCTGCGATGGGCTCCAGGAGTCTCAGATAAAGGCGCTTACAAAAGGTGGACATTTTAACCTGCTGATTTATGCAACGATATTTATTCTGTGGCTGTGAACTGTTAAGCATCAGTCAATTATAATCTTTTAATTTTTCTTCAGTGGACCGAACAGTATTATTTAAATATTAATGACTTATTGCTCTCTTCAATCATTTTCGATGATCATCGAATAGAATAGGCACGACAAATCGTGCTCAGCATTCAACTAGGCTATGAAGCTGTTGGCATGTTGTAATCGAATATTAAGTCTCGCCTCGCCCATGAGTAGTGTACGTAATGCCAAGAATCATACTCATGGTATTTAGGTCTTTCAGTTTGGATAAAAGTGGGACTCTGCGCCGTCTGACGTAGATGATAACCATGACATTCATGAGCCCTCGTCCTCACTCTTTCGTATCAATTACACTGCATACTTCCTGATAATCGACACCATACCGCTTCCCATAGGAGGCTCGCTATATACCAATGACATTCTGCAATCTGTGTTGCCTTGCAAAGGGATGCTTAAGTGTTTCCGGCTCTTGGTGCAGCAGTTGCTCAGGCAGGCAGGTTCTCTGAACCCTCAGAAAGAACTGGAGCCTAGAGAGGACAGTGACCGGCTCTTAACGAGACACACGGTCTTGCGTCAAGAATGGCCGCAGTCTATACGTGAGCTTCCACCATTTGCAGAGAAAAGGCGGAAGCTTCTCCCCATACGAGATAGATTTATCCAGGAAAATGGGGAGCATAGCCATCACTTAACTTGCGTGCAGCCGAAAAGGCGTAGCTGGACAAACGGCCGCATGCTAAGATGGTTGCGATGCGCCGGTGGGCGTGAATGTTCCAACGGTGTCAGACTGCTACAAGAATGGAAGCAGTGGGCAGAAAGTTGCCCGGGCGGCTGGCCAGTCGAGAGCGACAAACTGGCAATGGTTACACAAAAATACGGGCAGATCGAGGAAATTATAGGAATTGGCTCCCACGGTGCGGTGCTGATGTCACATAAGACTGGAGGAACCTGCAAGCCGCAGCCCAACCGCTGCTACGCTCTGAAAATTTTTTCGCAAGGGCAGGAGCCAATGCAGTACGATCATCGCAGACGAGTGATAGCAAAGTTCCCAATTGGATACTTTCTGCATCACCCGCATATTATCAAAACATTCGATCTCCTACCTGTGGGCTACGGGAACCTATGCGCCTGCATGGAATACTGCTCCGGCGGAGATCTACATTCCCTGATCGTTGCCTCTCGTCAACTTCTGCCAGAGGAGTCTGATTGCTTCTTCAAGCAGCTGGTGTGCGGTGTTCTGTATCTTCATAAGATGCATATCGCTCACCGTGATTTAAAGCCCGAAAATCTTCTCCTCACCGATCGCGGCTGTCTCAAGATCTCCGACTTTGGAAATGCAGAGTGCTTTCGCATTCCTCGAGAGGACCGAGTACATATGAGCAGCAGACGTCGTGGTTCGGCACCTTACATCTCTCCGGAGCAGTATCTCGAAGAGCCATTCGATCCAAGGAAAACAGATATATGGGCTGCGGCTATTGTTTACATCGCAATGCGAGCAGGAAGGAATCCCTGGAATTCAGCGACTGATCGGGACGAATGCTTTAGGGACTACCTCGAGGAGCGAAGGGTTGGGAAGTATAACTTCCTGATCAGAGAGATATCCCATGTTAGGGTTTCCCCTTGTCACTTCAGATTTGCCTAGACACTAACTTGCCCAATCTCTAGGAACATAGCTGCGAATTGCTACATTCTATGCTAAGTATCGATGCTGCGCATCGACCCGGAGCATCCGAGTTACTTTCCTCACAGTGGCTCCAGGAGATTCGTTGCTGTCAGGCTGCGAGGTCGGGGTAATAAGATGTACGTTACGCGGTTACGGTACAACCCCCCTTTCTTCGAAATTGACGAGTCACTGGGGATCATTGGGAGATCTCGGATAATGGCGCCCGTTGCCACATAAGAATCCCAAGTTTCACGCGCACACGAAGGACGCTCCCAAAAGAAAAGCCGGAGTCACAACCGAGGGTAAACGTGGGCGGAACTGGATGGACCCGACTGAGTCTAGGCGCCCAGACGCCCAGATTCAACGTCATCCATCGTAAGTGCCAAGACCGAGTGCCAAGAGTGGATCTCCCACCCTGCACCAATCACCGCCATATGTGCTTTCTGGTTCCGGTCAAGACCTTGAGAGGTTAGGTAGTATCTAGTCGAAGGCTCTTGGTGGCCGTAAAACTTTTCAATGTAGCTGGAGGGTCCTTTCTTTTAAAAGATGGGCAAGCAATTGTTCGCCAGGTACATTGATTCTGTTGGGTAACATTTCTCTCGCAGTCCTTATCGATCGACTAGTACCTGATTAGTCAAGCTATGGCAGGCAGCTTTTTCCCATATCACGAGCCAGGGAGTATGTTTCAAAGATAATTCGCCATACCGAACCACAAGCTTACATTATTATTGTACAGTTGTACAAATCTTGATCATCATCTCCTTCTTTTTCATCTTATCTTTGTCGGAATGGGCATCCGCTAAGATTATCCGTGCGGGCATCATTGGTCAAATTGCAGTTGGCATTGTGTATGGGAAACCCCTTGCCGATATTCTCGAAGACGATTGGGAGACAACATTTCTTGCCCTGGGATATGTAGGCTTGATCCTTATTATATTTGAAGGTAAGTATTTACCTGCCATGGGGCATCCGTACAAGTGATAACGAAATCCTATGATAGGAGGTCTTAGCGCTCGCATTGACCTTTTGAAGGCAAACTTGGTGCCGAGCATGCTCGGTGCTGCCACGGGTGTCTGCTTTCCTATAGGCCTATCTTACCTCCTTCTTTATCTCGGATTTGGATATGGTGAGACTTGGCTGATCTGCGGAATATACGCCTGAAAGCTTACCTGCACGCATAGGTGCTGTCGAAACCTTTATTATCGGGGCAGCCCTATCGGCTACGTCGTTAGGTAAGATTTTTGGCTTACACTCTGAGAATATCGTCTCCTTTACTTTCCCTTTCATCGTCAAGGTCCTTTTCAGAGGCGTGTGTACTTACTCCAAATACGTAGGCACGACGTTCGCGGTCATTTCTTCAGCTTCCGGTACTGTAGATCTCGCCCAGACACGGGTTGGCTCCGTTTTGATTAGCGCAGCTGTTATCGACGACGTTGTCGGCCTGGTTATGGCTAGGTCAGCTTACCACTTATCCGTCGTCAAAACTATCCCAGCAGGCAATTGACTTAAAGCAGCGTCATAGGAAAATTAGGTCAGCTCGAGGGCGGCAACGACGTGAATCTTGGCTGGCTTATTGGACGTCCAATAGTGGCATCAATTGCGATGGCAACCGCCACGCCAATTGTGACAAAGTTCTTTTTCGCCCCGATCTTCCGGCGGTATATTGAGGATTACTTTGCACGATATGATCATATATCTAATATTATATTGATGATCCTATCTCTGTCTGCATTTATAAGCATTGCAGCATACACCGGCACATCAGTTCTCTTTGGTGCATTCTTAGCCGGGACATTTCTTACATATATACCGAGCAAGCATCCAGAGGGACCCTTTGTCGTTATGAGCCGTGAAGAGGGAGAGCGCTTCGCAGATAAGAGTCCTACGTTTGTGCACACTTTCGAGAGATACCTCATGGATATTCAAAAGTATCTCATGGAGCCACTATTCTTCGCGAGTATCGGGTTTGCCATTCCTTTTGTGCAGCTCTGGACGGGTAAACGGATATGGAGGGGCGTCATTTTCACACTTCTCATGGTGTTCGGAAAGGTAAGACAGTCTTGCCCTGTATATCCACATCCTCATCATTCCACTAACACGGCCTAGCTTATCGTTGGGGTATGGCTACCACTATGGACTTGGTGCCCTTTTAATTCGCTATTCCGGCGAATTAAAGTCTGCAGCCCGAGGAAGAGCAGTGCTGGGGGAGAAGTTCATACGACCCAAGGGAGTGAGGAGAAGAGAAGGAAACCGGGGACCATCTGGCTTTCGGCAATGTTGCTGGGCTCCGCCATGGTAGCTCGGGGTGAAATTGGTCTGTTAATTGTTGAGATCGGGTACAATGAGACAGCGTATGTCAGCGAGGATGGTTTTATTACGGCGGTCTGGGCAATCTTGCTCAATACCATCCTTGGGCCCGCAACGGTGGGTATTCTTGTCAAATTCTACGGCAAGCGTATAGGAAACGGCGAATGGGGTTTACAAGATTCTGTGGCACCGGGAGAGGGGTCACACATTAGCTCTCAAGTTGTATCATCAGCATGAACAATATTGGACTACTCCCGCGTGACAATATAAACATTCGTCTTCCAAGGTCTCCTGTCCACTACCTGTCACCTTTTACGTAGTTGACACGTATATTCCGCATATATTCACTAGAACAAGACGTGGGGAAAGGAAATTTGGGTACTTATCTTCACACCTGTGCCAAAAGACGGTGACGCGACCAATCCTCTACAAGTCATCTCGTATTGTGGGCAGTCGGTGAAAAGTCCCGCACTTTTGCCAAGCACCACTTTTCGTGGTTTCGGTCTCCAGAAGGCTTGGCAAAGCAAAGTTGCCCCATTGATTAAGCCAGGCTACAGCTCGTCGGAGCTGGGTCCCTTATTTGAGGATCGTATATAGAGCGGGGTTGACTGAATGGCCAAGAAAAGCGAAAGCTCGGCGCAAATTCTTTAACCTCCTTTAAGCAGCCGATAGATTATCGATCCTTTAGATGGCCAGGAAGGCTTGTGTCTGGCTAAAACCGCGGTTGCCTTCGCTGCTACGCGAACGGTCGGGGTGAGAGACATAGTTCGCCCGTTCGTTTTGACAGGTTTTCATCCTGCTTCTCCGTTGACCAGCATTATCATACGCTTCATCCTGAATAGGGTTGACGAAGTCGTAGGCGACCGTCTCTTTCTCATCGAATAGGTGGTGAAAGCCGGTTGAGATACCGAACAGCGGTCTATTATGAGACACAGCCCGAGAGATGCATGCCCTGCATACCAGGGGTAAGGCTACCGGGGCCGATGAGAAAGTGGTGCAAAGGAATTTTCCAGGTGCGCAGGGTCGAGTAATCAATAAGACCGTCTTCCTTGGGAATAGGTACGCGCTATGAGAATCTGCGGGGCAGTGGTATTTGTTTACGGACTAAAGTTGCCCCAGCTGCTAGTGTGGTGCTCCTAATCAGGTAAAGAGCTTCATTACCGCTTGGAATCCAAGTGCACAGCCTGTAAAGTCAGCTTCATGCACATCCCATCAGAGCCAGGAAGCTTTCGTGCTACACCAACCTGTCACCCAATCATTGTCTGACTTGAACCATTAGAAAATATTGCTACCTTCTGATGTGATTTCTTGCGTCGTACCCTTCGCTAGTCCTTTAATGGAGTAATAAGGCTCCAATTCCACGTCCATTTGAGGCCAAGTCAGCACAACCAGTTCAAGTGATGATCGAGGCCATCGTACAAATGGCAGTCTGTTCAAGTAGGGGTTTCAGCAGGTTGGATTATTGGAGCTCCTTTAAATATGAAGAGCTCGTTCTGACCTGCTCCCACTAAAGGATTTGCTAACGGTTCAGGAGGTGCCTCTAAGGGTGAGCGACCAAGCTTTATATTATTATGTTCCCTTAAGGTTGGGCAGGATGCAGCCTTCACAATCCAGGCCGGGAATACTTTCCGCTCTTTCTACCAAGAGTAGCCTGTCGAGGATTATTACATGACTCCTGCATCGCAAAAACCTGTGCAACGGTATCCTGATATCTCTCCTGAGATCTGCGTTTACTGTACCAGTGCGGACCTCCTCTTCCTTTGCCCAGGGATTGGGATGTCACGCGGATTTTCTGCCGTGAGATCGTGGGTCCAGATACATACCCAAAGTCGGTACATAATTAACGTCGACGGTATAAGAGAGCGCAGTCGATTGTCGGCTCTCACTGCAGTAGTCGGTTCATCGTTCAACGGGAAGTGTGTGAATAAAACGATCCGCGATCTTTCAGATTAACGGCCAAGCGTCTAAGGTCCAAAGCCCTCCATAGGTTGTATTGCCGCAGGGCTCGCCGCTGTTCCGATCCTATTTCTCTTCAACGCAGACCTTGTACAACGATAAATCAGGAGCCGAGGAGGACTACTTTCATTCGTGGATGACTTTACCGCGCGGGTGGCTGGAAAAACTACGTAAAGTAATCGGGAAGGCATTGATGCAATTGTCAATAAAGCACGGCTGGGAGAAAAGGGGCGGCGCGACGTTCGAAGAACATAAAACAGTCATCAAACACTTCGCGTAAGGCTTACAATTCAGACCATAGGCCTTCCACTATCGCTGGGCAAACCGTTGAGCTCAAAGACTATGTCAAGATCCTGGAGGTTCTTATGGACGCGAAACTCAAGTACTCGCAGGAGGGCAGCATCCGTAGGCTTGGAGGCAGCGATGTAGCTTCGGCGACTTCGCGGCCTATTCCCGGCAACCGCACAACAGCTATCCACATCAACACTTGCAGGGATAAGGCATTTGGGACGATTAAACGAATCCAGTGGGTGGGAGCGCAGGCAATTGTAGGAACCATTCTCACAGTTGCAACCAGCGTAGCAGAGGCAGAGGCTCACATTGCCACTGTGCAACACTGTTTCTAGAAACGGGCCGAAAAACTGTGAACGGACCTCCACACTCTCCCAGAAACAAGCCTTTTCGCAGAGATACAGATCGGATAAAATATTCAGCAGTTTCCACCGTCTGTCGCTGTACGAGGTAGCGGGCGCACTGAAAGCATTGAGATAGAGACAGTGGAAACTATTAATCTGTTCACATTAGCACCATGGGAGACATGTATGCAGACGGACCGATAGATGGTACCGGGCGGATCAATACAAGTCGTGGTCAGTGCGGAACGACCTTGTATAATTTGAGGTGGCGATCGAGAAGAAGCCACCTCGATATTGAAACCTGAATCTGAAGTCCTTCTCCGTGACATTAGGTGCAATATCAGGGCAAAATCCATTCTCCGCGGAACTAGCAGCAATGGCACACGCATTGAGTGCCCTATCGGGACTGAAACAGTATAGTCACGCTACTCAAGAGCAACAAAGGGGCCGCACTTGCACTGGGATACCTGTGGCAACAATCGGGTCAGGAACATCTTTCATTAATATACAAGATGATTAGAAGACCGCGACGAAGGAACGGAAACAGGATGACGATCCGCTGGGTCCCCACCAGCGAGCATAACAAACTGAAGGGCCTCGCTAAGTTGTAGGCCAGGGCAGCTACCCGAGAAGACGCCATGCCACCCACACAACCTCCCAAGATGATATCAACCATTCTCAATATCGCACGATCCCAACAAATCACCAGCAAACGGCTGCCGGAGGAAGTGGGAACATGTGAGAAGAGTAGATGCGGCCCTCCCGGGCAAAACACATCCCGACAATTGTACGATCGTTTATCATGGAAAGAAGTGAGCGTGCTGGCTCGGCTCCGGATGGGCATGGTGCGATAAACGGGTATTTCTACCAGACCAAAGTTGTGCAGACGGATCAATGTGCATGTGGCCAAGCAAGAGAGACCGTAGAGCACTTTCTCTGTCGATTCCTCTTTCAATGTTGGAAATGGATGGCTTCAATGTATCAACACCTACCGAGGCAACATATCCTTCTTCCTGGGACTAGAAATCCCTTCAAATGGTCAACACTGGCCCCAAAACTTAGAAGCAGTACGAGCCTTCACACGGTTTAACCATACAGATAATTAGAAGTCCGCCCCTCTTCCCGACCTAATTCACACCAACGGCCTCGGGCCAAACACGGTAGGCGCGTTTCAGCTGCGGAAGACAAGATGTTGAACACTTGAAGAAGCGCCTTCAATGCAGCCTACTAACATGATTACCACCCCACGAGATTCCGCTACGATATCGACTGATGAGACGCCAGATGCTATTTGAGAAAGGGTATCGGCCTTCAGGAGATAAGGCACAGCTTAAGAAAGGTGTTAGTCGATTAGTGGTAGTTGCCCTTTTAGCTTGACCGCCGGGCATTAATATGTTGAATGTCTCTCTCTCTGTGTGTATAAATGTGCACGTATGTGCGTGGGAGACCTGAAAGGCACTCTCCCAGATACCAAGGGAAAGCGATCGCAAGGTCTGGAGTAAATCTGGGAAGTGCGACGTTGATATCGACGTCGGATTGTTGTTGTGTAAAGCATATCAAGCACCGCAATTATGCCAAGAACTTGTTTTGCTTCCCTGTGACCTCAACCACCACTATATACAAATAGCCCTCTCGTTCCCGGGCAAAATTCCAAGGACGCACAAAGACCGCAGCTTACACGGAAGGCCACCCGTCAGACCAGTTAATGACGTTCCAACCAAATTGCTTATCACCATCAGCATAACCGACCTCAGTGTTGATGTAGTGGTAGTAAAGGATAGTCCCGTATTCCGGATCATCGAAAACACCCTGACCGCCAGGTCCATAAATATTATCATGGCTCTTCAAGACGAGAGAGCCGCCACTCGCCTGGCAATCATTGCCATCTTTATCGACCTATTTTTTACAATTATATGTTAGCGTAGGAACAAATGGAGAATAGGACATCACGCAGAGAAACACTTACAAATCCTCCAGTAGCTGTGGTGCTGCGACAAACCATAATCTTGTACTCCTCACCAGCAGCAGGGCGATTGGTATCGTAGCCACAGCATGCACCTGACGAGAAGAAGAGATAGAAATAGCTGCCATACTGATACATGAACGCCCCTTCCTCGGAGTGGTCGCTCGTAACATTGAAGGCGATGTTGTAAGCAGCGCTGCCGGCGGTCTTGGTGCCTGCAGAATTCATCTTGACTTGATAGATGTCATTGTAGAAAGAGCCGAAGTTCATGTAAAAAGTTCCGTCGGCCTTGATAAGGTTAGGATCAATGGCATTGTACAGTTTTCCACTATTAGAGGCAACACCAATTGACCCGTGATCGTTCCAGCTGTTGAGGTCCATGGTGGTAGAGATGGCGAGACCGATGGCGGACGACTGGGAGCCGAAGGTAGAAACCGCATAGAACAGGTAGTAGGTTCCGTATATGTAATGAACATCAGGGGGCCTATTGCAGAACTTTAGCGATATGGGACGGAATATAGCATAGTGCAGGACCAGGATAGAGGAACTCACCCACAAATCTGTGTTACCAGCCAGATTTATCTTTGATCCGCTAGGGAGAACAGAACCGACACCTTCCCAGGGACCATGCAATGAATCGGAGGTGGCGTAAGTGATTTCGCCACCGGTAGAGAAGCGGAAGTACTTTCCGTCAGACACTCGACGCAGAAGTCCAGGGTCACTGATGATGCACAAACCCGAGCAAAGCTCGGGGTTGGTGAAGGAATAAGTCAGACTAGGAAGAATGGCAAGCGTTGTAAGTGAGAAGAACATCATGGCCTGAAGAAGATGGAAGATAATTTGGAAACCAGAGAAGCAGTGAGGGCCGTTCCTGATTTATGTAGAGCATAGGACATTCAGTCTAAAAGAGGAAAATGATTAGCAGATGAGACGTCTCTCCTGAGCGTCCACATCATTAACCATCGACTGCACTATATCAGTGGGGAACCTCCAGGTGGAGTACACCCGAAGTAGCTGTCCCGTCTTACCAACTTGCAATTTGTGGACGATAGCAACTAGGCTAGCCCATCGATTTAAGCCAAGTAGAGATGGCTCATGATCTTTCGTCGCAACTACCCAATATGATCAGATTAAATGCGAAGGAACGGGCACCACTAGGGCCCGAGTATTCACTATTCTTAAGACAGGGTCGTTGAGTACTGTTGCATGCTCGATTTTTGTTCAAACCCAATTCCGACTGCATTTGTCCGCAATGGCGAGCATTGCTCGGTACAATCATAGTTCCGGACGTCCCAGAAAAGTCATTGTGTGAGTAGGAAGCGCCGGCATTAGTGCTTACTTACTACTGCATCATCTTTTAACCGAGGATGCATTTGATATCTGGGATATTCGAAGGGGCCACACAGAGTACAGGGAAATAAAGGGGTAGAATTACGCTGCTCAGTGCGTTCTCAAAGCGAGTCCCAGAGGCTTAAACGCCCCCTTTGAGGGTAAAGCAACCGTAGCACCGAAGCCATCTATTTTCTGTAACATCCTAATTATTCTAGTCCTCGGCAATTGTTAGGGTGCCTTTCCCGAGGATACTTCATTTTCTGACTGGTGCTACCATAAATTGGAAGAACCCGGTGTCCATGAAGCGCACGGTCTTTACTAGTGTGGTTTGGAATATAATCTGCCCGTACACATAAGACCAATTCGCTCCGAGCTTGTTTCAGCCCGAAACCAGTGTGTGGTATGGGTATTCGGGAAGTGGGAAGAAGATTCCGTTGAATCCAGTACCCACGGGAAATGTCGGTCCTGCATGGCAAGTGTGCTATGCACTACTGACCGACGAACGATGCCCGCGTAAAATTCAGCCGTGTGTCGTGCTCACATAGCCTCAATATTAACTTCGAACGGTGACTGTGGGCTACGCTGAAAGAGCCCAACAACCAGCGGACATGCGAGTTGTTGATAAAATATGGGATAGAACAACCTGAAATGTGTAATAACACCTCGGAAGTTGACGGAATACGAGCATACGAGCCCATATCGATCAATAAAAACGCCAGCTTACGTTGGCCTTGAACCACAATAATGCCAAGAACTCTTTGGCTCTTTCAGTGGATCTTGGGCTTAGAGCAGCCCACACATAGGGCTGACTTTTTTTCAGCATGGCGTGCCTACAGGCTAGAACCCCAAACTCGAAACATTGGCCATTATGTTCCAGCCGGCTTGGGTGATTGGCACCGAAACTGCCTGGCGAAAATATGCCGGTTAATATCGCTAATGCCTCGCTAATATTGAACATTTCTCTGGGTGCCTATTTCACGGCATCCCCCATTTTGTGCAGTGAGGAAACTCCATGATTGAGGTCGAGCCTTGAGTGGTTTGTGATGAGTGTGGCGCAGGGTAAATTAACCAGCTTAGCCTCGGCCTCCGTTCAGTGTACGAATATTGTTGGAAACGTACCCTGTATAGCAATTTTGGGGCGTGTTTTCGTGCGAAGAAAACAAGACAGCAGAGTTTTCCATAAGAAAGAGCGAAGCTCTTTACAGATGTCTTCCCATAGCTATGCCTTATTTCAACGCCCAACTTGACTGCTCCTGTTTCTATTATACTATGCAGGGATTTAGTGACACTTCGCGCGGGAATTAATTTCCTCACTTTGAGAAACAAGCGTCCAAAATAATGGGTATCTAATAAGAGGATACATCTTGCGGCGACGACGTCGCTCATATTGACAATCTTCGCGAGAACAGATCTACTGTTATGATGTTAAGTGAACTAGAAGACGGCAGATGGGCTGCCCAAAACGGCCGCAGTCCACGCCGTTTTGGCCGTCAATTTGCCACACCTTCGGCCACTCTCCCCCGTGCACTTATTATGTCCACGCACCGCCAAGCACCGATTGTCGACCCACCCAAACCTCATTTGTCCGCAGTGCAGTATACCTCAAGGCACACACTTCTTCGACCGCGGATCAACTTCCCCAAAATGAATTAGTGGCGCTATCCGTAGCGAAATCTCTTGGTGGGACACAAGCGCTATGACTAGTTGAGTTAACTATCAGGGGTCCGTAACATCTAGTTAGGAATAGCACCGTATAAGTAGGAATTACTTGAAAAAAACTACCCTGCCAGCACCCCTACCTGCTGAATTACTTAACTAGATACTAATATTCGATTCGTTAATTAGATTTTAATTATCTAATTCATCGTAATAAACAATTCGTTCTCGTATAGTTCAACTATGTCCCCAAGCATTACCTCAATCATCTTAGCCAGGAATGTTACTTAGCAAATTTGAAGTCAATTTAATATGACAGAATGCTGGAATATAATTCTAATTTTTAGTATAGAAGGTAGAATACTTTAACTTCAGGGGACACAGGAACCATTTAGTTCAGGTAGGCAGGGCATCTAATACTGAGAAATATTTGTTGAATTAGCCGCAGGGGGAGCAGGGAAAGAATTATCTCATACAAAAAACTCATTCATTTGGGCACACAATTAATAATTACCTGATATCGCCTAGAAGCAGCGGCTTGGGCCGCCTCTAGCACCTCAGGCTAGCTGTGGGGTCCGTTTGACAATGCCATAATGTCCGAAAAGCATCACATACTTTCTTGAGCACGTCTGTTGTGTATGGCCGGACCGCCAATTATCATACTCATGGCTAATGCATTGAGCGGTCGCCATGTGATGGATATATACGCAAGTTTAACATCCTCATAGCAGAATTGGCAGCTTAAACAAATCTGTTGTCTATTTCGGACAACGCTTTACTGCGCCAGCTTATTTGCTTTCCTAAAAAGCTTGGCTCGCAAGATAACTTTTGCCTAACGAGCTTGCGCTTCATAGCTGTCTAAGGCATACTGAGTCTCCTTGACGAGTGCAATTTGGTCGGCGAAACACGATACATTTCATTTCACTAATTGGTACACCCACTTTCGATATTAATATCCGGTTGTAGTGGGGTCCAGGCACAGAGCTACCCAACCGATACAAAGAATTTCCAAAGCTACTGGAGAGAAAATGTTTGGTGTAATAGTCAGTTATCCTGCAGCTGCTGAAGTCCAGAAGCCAATTGAGTGTAACACTGCCAGTAATTATGGGTCATCGGCTATATACCAAATCCTTCTCACTTGCCAGTACCAAACATTAGTCCTAAACAAACTACAGCTATGCCACTGCTCAACCCAGTTCATGGGCGCATATAGGCAAAGTCCGAACACCTTGGGATACTAACCCACTAAACAAATACTAGTTCCTGCCCCCATTCTTGGCGAGATAGATGAGGAAACTACTACCTGTGCCGAATTATTCAGGCAGCCCTTTACTCAGCGTGGGTCCCAGGTGCATTGAGTCTGGTGGCCGAAGGTATATAAACCATGAAGATAGCCACGAGTTAAATTGGAAAATAACCTACTTCATTTTGTTCTTCAAGGAGCAAAGGAACCCATCCTTCAGACACCGAGGCCGAGAAAAGTGGGTGAAAAACGAAAGTCAACAACAGGCAAGTCTTGATCTCTCTCTTTCTACTTTTTCCCCTTTCTACGTATCTTTATTCAGCATACATTACTGGAGCTCACAGAGGTCGTAGAGGATCTCTCAAGCTAACATAAGAAAGCGTATAGGTTGAAAAATCCACGAGGCACAGCTGAAGTCAACAAGATGCATCTTCCGAGCCTCGCCCTTCTAGCCGCGACAGCTCCGACCGCTTTGGCATGCACTTTCGGGATCCAATTTCGCTATATTCGTGGAGGTGGCGCTTCGGAACTCCAGTGTATAGGTTTTGCATATGACAGTAACAATCCGGACATCATAAACGATGTTAAGGATGCCTATTCCAACATCGCATGTGGCGGCGGTTGCACCAACCTTGACTTCAAAGGAAAGACATACCGATTTTGTTTTGACCACGCCGCTAACCTGGACATCCAAGGAGATGCTTCTGTTCAACGTGTTGATGGTGGTGTCAAGGTCAATATTGTGCCTGATGGGGAGAAGAAGGTAGATAGATTTACTGCCGGCCTCGGCAGTGTTGTTACGCACGCCTTCTACCGGTCTAATATTGGGTGCCCGAGTGGTGGAGTCAAGGAATATGGGAGGTAGAGTCTGTATCGTATATATATAATGATACATGACTGGCCGAAATAGACCAAGTGCTGTCAACTATACCAACTTTCTTTGACATCAATATTGCTAGATCTGGCCGTCTGCTCGGGACTTTTATGCTACATTTTACCATACAAAGAAAAGAAACCGACTTAATTAATTGGATATGATGAGAGTCACTACGAAACATGTGCATAAGCCGTCTCTTCGGTCAGCAGCCCCGTCTGCACTTCGGCATGTTGGTCTGTTTACATGACTCCTTTTTAGACGATATATTTCCAGCCATTCATAGCTTCTACACTCACTACTATTATGGCCGATTTTGATTGGTTCTGATACTGACATATATATTTTGCTGGCCTACGAATTTACAAGGTAAAAAATGCGTAATAAATCTCCATTGGTGCTTCGATTTAACATTTCTTATCAATAACTCCAGAACTTGCTGTCTTTGTCCCTTCTTATACTTGCACCTCATGCCTAGTAGCCATCCCAGCGGTTTGAAGGACTGGAAGCTTTACATTACCTCAGAGAAATAGGAGGTAATTCTGTCAACAATATTGTGGTTGCAGGTGACTCAGCCGGTGGAAATCTAGCACTAGGAATTGTCTCTCATATCTTGCTTCCACACCCTGATATAAGTGTGGCATTTGCTCCGAAGGAGTCATTGTCTGGGCCACTGCAACTATGCCCTTGGGCCACTTTCTTCCGGAAGCGGGATTTCATTGAGAGAAATAAATTCAAGGACTCTATTGCACTTATTCCTAGCAGCTGCTACGTTCAGTGTTTTCTCGGTGGCAAGCCCTCGAATAACTACAACGAACCTCTTTCAAGTCATGGAATCCGGATCATGAGAGCTGATGAAATGTCCTGACCGACTAAAAGTGTTGGGTTGGATGTTAGCAATGTGAGGGGCTAAAACATCCACTTGTGCTCTTCTCTCGCGAATAGAGCAGCGAGGCTACAAACCATGCGTCATTTCTCTTCGCCGGTCTGGTTAGAAATAGATAAATATTACTTCTGAATCTCGGGAGATTTCAGAGGAAAGAACCGAGGAAACTCGCAGCCGAGGCTGGAAATTGTGTACGGAATCCTTATGATCCATGGCGGTTTCAGCTTTTACTCTCTTTTCTTTTGGGATCTTATTCTTTCTAAGGAGTATGTGTCTTTCAAATGCTGTAGGTGGGAGTAGCTCCACGTCTCCAAAAAGACGACACGGGAGCCGACCCAAGCCCTAGTTATAGATCCATTGCCTACTCTGTCAACTGGGTAAGATATCTTTGATATAATGCAAAGGACGCATAGCAGGGAACTGACAAACTATCCACCTAGGGAATTTATGATCGCAAGTTTGATCCGCAAGACCTTCCCGTTGAGAGGCTTACTCATGTCCTCTATGCATTCGCAGATGTGCAAAACGATACTGGAGATGTGTATCTTTCTGATACCTATGCAGACTTGAAGAAGCATTACCCCGGTGATTCCTGGTCTGAAGCAGGTAATAATGCGCCTTCTGCTTCCCATCCAAAGACAAAGAGTGCCTTCCCTCAGCTCTAGCGTGTTTTGGCGCGCTAAACCTTTGATTTAGGGCATTGAGGACGTCCGTTTCGAGAAGAAATGATACAATACCTGACTGCTGATTTAATAACGTGCGCTGTAAAATGACCTGAAGCCAGATTACGCAACGCCAAAAGTATGGTGTAACCCGAATCTCGTGCGAGAAGGACGGATCCGTCGCTTCGTATGTACAAGACTAGACTTTGCATGGCTTTTATAGTGTCCTTGCAGGGATTTACTGCCTTTGTTTCAGCATTGATATTTTAGTAATCATTTAAAGACTTTATGTTTAGGTAAGCTTGCATAAAATTTAAGCACACAGAATCTTACCGAAGGTCGTGGAATTGCTTCTCTGCTAGGCTTGTTTACTCACATTCTTGAATCTTGATAGATACTCAAATCTACCTCGCATAACTGTTAATACAGTTGAAGCACTTCGTTCCTGATATAGAAATGGAAAATATCTCACATTTTGATCGTTGTTTGGGAACCCCTCACGGCGGGATCTCTTTATGTGAGAGTTGCTAAACAAGAGATCAAACACGTGGTCCTTGAATCCACTGAACAAATGTACAATAGTTGACTAACGACTTGCACAGCGTTGCAAGGCTGCGTGTTTAAACGAATAATCACACTTAAATGAATGACTTAGAATTTGACTCTACATCACTTGATGCTAAGTCAACGACTCTCGATAACGACGGAATTGCAGCAAAATGAGACTGCGAGCCGAGCTTGAATATGAGTAAGAGCTGTCCCATCCCGTCTTCAGAACGACGTTTTGAATTACGTACGTTGAGGAGAGTTTGTGTAATCAGCCGGTATCACTCGTACAATGATTGCTCTGTGCCTAGATCTTCGGCCAGCGTAGAAGCAACGCAGCGGCAATTACTGGTAACACACTCACCAATTCTCCTAGTCCCGCAAACTGTGGAGAAATTCTCGCATCGACAAAAGCACCCGCAACGAGAAGGACTGCAAAGGAGTTGTACACGAAGCTCCAAGCGAAATTGAACTTGATGCGGTGGACAGATTCCCGACTGGAGTCCATCATGGTGGGGATGCCAGCCAGAGAAGGCCGCATGAGATACCACATCCGCGGCGTATTGCGCGACATCTGTGCCTTCGTTCATGCGGACGCCGATCGTAGCCTGCGCGAGAGCAACGGCGTCGTTGGTGCCATCGCCGCAGAAAACAACAACCGGTTCCTTGCGGTCCGCACCTGTACCAAGGAGCATCTGGATATAATCCCTCTTGTCGGCGGGCGAGCTTTGAGAACGAACATTATTTCCAGGAATGCTAAGCTTGGACGCTATGTCTGAACAGCTCCGTCATCGTCCCCAGAAACCACGTGTACCGAGACACCACGCTTCTGCAAGGTCTCAATCGTCCCCGCAGCGTCAGGTTGAAGCTCATCCTCAAGAGCAAAGACCGCATGTAAGGCATTGTCTATAGAAAAGCAGAAAACAGTGTATCCTTGAGCAAGCATTGGTTGGACAAGTTCATGTTCCGATAAATCCAGCCAGCGAGAATTGCCTGCTTGGAGTCTCCGGCCGCCCACGGTGGTCTCGACACCTTTACCAGTAAAGCTCTTGGGCTCAGGAACGGTTAGGGCCATAACCCCAGTATCCTGGAGGTAAGCAGCCACAGAAACCGAGACTGGGTGTCGACTGTTTTCGATGAGGCCTAGAAGAAGCGGGAGCTTGTCTTGGTCAACGCAGTTCTTCGCGACAACAGATAGCCTTCCCCGGGTCAAGGTCCCAGTCTAATCAAACACGACGTGCGATGTTTTATGAGCAACTTCAATAGCATCTGCAGACTTGAAGATGATACCTTTTTCCGCCACCACTCCGCTAGCAATTACAATGACCATAGGTACGGCCAGTCCGATAGCGCAGGGGCAAGAGCATAAATGCCTCTCTCACTCTTGATCTGCACGACCATGGCTTAACATAGCCTCGCACTGGATGTGTTTTATCTCTGGTCATACTGAGATAATGTGACCGGAGATATCAACACGTGATTATTATGTAACATGTATCAACTAGGACAAACAGTGTTGCATAACCGCGGGAGATATCCATGGAAGAACATGGAGCCCCCGCTCCGGATCTCAGGGAGCCAGGAAAGTTCTGTTCCAGGTCCCTCGCAGACGGGCCATGTGGCATCAACTTCCTTTTTCTGGCAACCACATATATCTCTTTGCCTTCTTGTAACTCGTAGAGTCGATGAATGTACATTACATTCTTTACTGTAATTCAACAAAATAAAGCAGTTGTGTCATTCAAAATCTTCGCCCACAGCTGTCTGCTAACTGTTGTTCGCCGGCGAGCAACATCTGCTGAGGCAGCGTATGTGCGAGATTTGACCAGATATTGCTAACTACAGGATCTTTTTTTGATCACTGAAAGAGACGAGCTCGAACCTACTAAGCCCTGAAACTGATCATGGCACTTACTAATATTAGTCATGGCGATGGGATGATTTGCCATGGTATGCACCCATCCCCGGAAACTTTAGTTGTACACACTCCTCGCTGTCAAAGCTTAGCCTTATCAATGCCAATTCTCTGTCTTTCTTTGAGTATCCTGCTCCTCAAATGAGTGCCGCCCGCACAGATAAACTTCCGCTCCTCCAATACGGAGTCTGGGTTGAAGGAAAGGGGTACGATGAGGACCCACCAACCTGTATCCACTAATGGATTGAGTGGAAGGCTATTCTTAATATAAAGACAGGATATCATACAATCTAACATGGAAGACCCGCTTCGTGAACGCAAGGGAAGTGTCCCCTAGGATACTCGGTATAAGGGAATGACGACCGGTTGGGCGAGGAGCTGCTCAAGCTGAATACCCAGTTAATTCAAATATATGAACAAGACACCAACATCACCGAAGGAGTCGAGCGCGTTCGTGGCCAGTACATCGACTTCATGACGGGAGTGGGCGTGGCATATGGCCCAAATGAGTTGATATCTGGAGAGGCAGACACATCGGTGGCAAATAATATTAGGATTAGCATGCTCCTGGCATCATATCCAGTCGTGGGTTAGGCCGACGGGATCGGCACACAGCTGATTAGCAAGTTAATCGGTAATTAAGCATGGAGGCTGCTCATATTTCCCAGCGACGTGCGTGAATATTATAACCGGAACCGGCTGGCCAGATTTACGAACGAATTTCGTAAACAGGCTCATCTACTTTATTAGTATAAAGACGTGGAGGCGAACCGGTATTGCCCCTTTATTTAAATTATCCCGGTGCATTTCAGCCCGAGAACTTCGGTGAGTTTCTTAATTTCGACAAAGATATTCCACCCGTTCAATTAGACGTGGGGATGAGATTACTCCGGAGTATTTACTAACGATGGCTCATACAGCGAAACTTGTTGTGGTGCCTATAAAAGATACAGCATATGAGGAGAAACCAGGTGTCATATTATTTGATTAGAAGGCTTGGGAGAGGTGGAAGCATTAGAACAGCATTTAGATTAGTATATCAGCAGAAATTTGATCTGAACGGATTCGGCCTCTATTTGGTATAGTTTCAGCAAGCGCGACCGGCGAAAGGGGTTTAAAAGCATGTTGTTGATAACGTATTCTGAGTCTTGCACGGATAGCTTTTAATGGCAAGGGCCAGATATGATACGAAGAATAGACTATAGAGAGAACAAGGGGGACAAAAAGATACCGGATCCATTTCATGCGGCACAATGTAGTAATAACTATTGGCAGATATTACATACAATTATATTCCCAACAAGTCGCGAGCGTGTTCAGTGGCCAGAGCCCAACGGCAGCTCATCACACAGACTGGGGATCGCCCGTGGCCCACGGCTCTCTCGTCCCATATTCCATCAAGAAAGCCCTGCCACTCAGAAGCCCCAAAGAACGCCCTGCTGGATGACAGGGAAGTTGTGAAACGACAAATTGACTTTCAGACAGGGACTGGGAGAGCAGCTTGACTGGGGGCGAATAAGGATGAGGTAATGGTGATGTTGAAAGGTGATGTCATGAGAGTATCAGGCATGGAGAATGGGCTCCAGCACCACCGGCTGCACGGACTCAGTAAGTCTGGAGATCAAATTGTTACCAGAAATCGAAAACCCCCAACCATCGCAAGACCGACCGCCAGGGTTGGAGAAACAGGTCCCTTTGGAAAGCTCCGGGTTTCGAAATAGCGGTCGGGATATGAGTGCAAATCATAGAGATTCTACTTGAAACGTCATGCTGCAAGTGCGGGCTCCACCCGAACCACACTGAAACTGAATTCGAACTGTTCTTGCGGGTTTCCATCAGCTCAGGGTCGCCACTGATACGCGGGTATCTCTTCCGGACAACTTGATACTACGCTATCATGTTGCCCCAGAGTCTGAGCTCAACCAAATCATCCCATTCTAATACCCCAGGGAATCCAATTTGGGGCGTATCATGTTCACCCCAATGTTTGCGCTTACATCCCGGCCGGATATATTGCCCTTACAGCCCGACTTGCGCATTCGTACGCGTTTTCTCCTTGTGTGGCGCCGTGTGGAAAGCACTGTTGATCAACCTTATCAATGGCCGATGTGAAAATGTCCGCTGACTTGAACCTCTACGGCCCCCTTTCCGGACCACCATCCACCACTAACGAGACTTGGCCGGGCTCTCTCTATCTGAACAACACCATCCCCCAAGACTGTTTTTCTCTTCCTTTGTTCGAAGATAATGACCAATGGCTTCTCAATTCCCTCTCGCCGCCCGTGTCTTCGGCCACTGGATCGGCTCTTCTAACGAACTTCACCGCTAGCTCGGAAGCCAGCTTCATCGCTCCCTGCCAGATTGTACACAATCCTACTTGTGATTACGAGCAAAAGTCCCCCCGAATACAGACTATCTTTGAGCAATTCATACCAGCTCAGATGCCTCCAACTCCCATCCACGAAATTACCTCGCGGGGTAGCATCACAAGTGTTAGCAGCGGTGGTAGCGCCGACAACAACCAATCTCAGTCCAGTGTTTCCAGCCAGAGCAGCAGTAATGATAGTCCAGTATACAGTCGTCAAGAGAGCTCCCATCAGCCTTCCTCTCCGGGGTCTGGGATGAACGAGCGTGAACGACGCAAACGGGAGCGCTTCCTCGAGCGCAACCGCGTGGCTGCCAATAAATGTCGCAAGAAGAAGAAGAAGCGTGCCAAGCAGCTGGAAAGTCACTGCGAGACGGTGTTACAGGAAAAATTGCTCTTGGAGAACCAAGTTAATCACCTGCGGGGCGAAATTCTAAGTCTCAAGAATGAGCTGCTGCGACATTCCCACTGTGGGGATGCGAGGATTAAGTGCCATTTGGCAAAGATGGTAAAGCAGCTTTCTAAAAAAACTGGCACCACAACCCCGAGTCCAGAGGAAAAGAAAGAGTTATTACCCCCGATGGATAATCCCAAGCAGGAGCAGGAGATGACAATGGATCTTGAGGATCTGGTACAGCTTCCGGCTGCCGCGGATGGTTCAGTAACAGAAAGACAAAAAGATATTGAGTGAAGGTTTGATTTGAGATTGTCCATAGTATGTACATGATAGCCTGCGATGATTTAAACGTCTGTAAACAATGTGCTGTGGATATTCCCATTGTTTCTTCTCCTTTCTCTACGTCCCTATTTCTTACCCTTTCTAGTGCATCTGTTCTCTTCCCTTCTATATTTTACCTCTCTGTACCTTTCTCTTTTGGGGACTTTGCCAGAGTACATATATCTACGACAGTGAAAGTACTATGTCTGAGCTAGATTATAGATACGATTGAAAATGGTGGTAGCTAGCATACTTGGCGACGTTCCTGGGTCTAATGTTGCAAGGGGTGTTTTTTTGATGGGGGCAAAAGTTTAACTTCAATTCATGTGATTTAATCACATTATGTTTCTAATCAAATCGTTGATGAATCGACTCAAACCGTACCCGATTGTCGTCATGATCTCAAAAGTAACTGATTGAGTGGCCAATGGCACTCGCGACGGGTTACCACTTTCTCAATTGGGGGACAGTATTACTGGCCTTGCAATTATTACACTTCCTATACTTGTGCCATGCTGCAGAATCTTAGTATCAACCGGAACAATACTTGACGTCATAGCTTCCATTCTGAATACGATTTGACCCTATACATGACTAATCATACTACTCGATACTATCACATAACAAACTCCCCCCCCCCCCAACAGGGCAGATAATAATGTAATAGTAGTACTTTGTCGTAAATTACTTCTCCGGCATATCACCACCAGACCTCGATCCTCTCTTTCGACCAGCCTCCCTAGCCCGGTGATCTCCAGGCTCGAAGCTCCCTCCCGATGACATTCCGCCCTTGTGGCCGGCTTCCCGAGCCCGTTCTTCGCCAGGCTGGAAGCTACCACTGGAGGCTTGGCCGCCCATGGAGGCAATGTTGCGCTGTTCACTCTGATTAGGACATTATCCTGTAGAAGTAAGGGAAGGATATCGATCTACCTGCTTGTCTTCGTCCATGGAGGCAAATCCGCCAGGGTGGCTAGATGCGGGCGATGTTTTCAACTTCTCCGTGAGGACGGTTGGCAAAGTTGCCGGGGTTGGAGTTGGAGGCTATTTTGATGGTTGTGTTGTACTGTGCGTAGTATGTAGTACGATTATGTGGTAGGCTTGGAGATAGATGCTTGTTAGTTAAAATGAGAAGATGAGTTCACAGGAATAAGATAGGATATTTGTAGATGTCGTTTGGACTCTGAATGATACTTTCTACTAACTATAGATTTACTATGACTTCTCAATGATGTCAATGTCAATAATAGTAACCGTAACCGTAATTGTGGGAAAGATGGTATAGCCAAGCTTGTTTCAAGTTTCGTGTAATATCCAAAGGTACTATCGCACTTGGTAGCATGAACGGCAGAGTTGCCGTAATCGTGCTCTCAGAGACGTAATTTAGCATTTTAGCTCTCTTATCTTCCCAATCTCTTTTCAAGTAAGGGGGACCAGCGCTTTATATAGCTATCTGCAGTATTACTAGAGTTCTCCGCGATGTTTCGCTTCTCTCAGTAGGTGGTGGCAATGCATCGATACTTCTGGAAAAATGGAGCGAGAAAGTGTTTGACTCGCACAAGCTTTCCTGGAACTTTCCGTCATGTGAATGCTCTTCGTCCCATGTGTTGGTCGTTTTCTGGCACAACGGGCAAGTGCGTTAGTAGTCACGTGATAGTGGTTTCAGTATTCTGCCTAATACACATCGTATTTCATCGACTACTCCGATTGTCGGCTCGCACTAAGCCCTTGGCAGCGAAGCTGGGAAACAATCGTCTAGTGTTCAAGGTAAGGCCGATTTTGAGTCTAATTGTGGCCTATGATTGACAGAAGGGGATATCATATTAGCTTAAGAGAATAGGGCCGCTTCCACTGCCGCGGCCCGCTTGTAGAATGGCTAGGGACGAGGTCTAACTACGCCACTACAGACCATTCTTGTTCTGCTTGTGCCCACTTGTTGCCCAATAAAACCCAATAATTCTGTCGTATAATCTGGAGACAGGGCCCACAAAGCAATGATGAATCGGTTGACGGTACAAGTGTCCGTCCCATGATTGCTACGGCCCGCTACTGAGGCCTTCGCGAGAACAGTCCAAGTGGGTCTGCGTACCCTGTAAGGTATAGTGAGACCGTGACTGAATGAGCTGCAGAAGGGTTTGCTTGATGCCCGCTGTACTCTGATTATTTTTCTATTCGGCTAAAAGACACTGGCAGTTCGATCGGTAGTAGTAACACAACTATAATATGAATATTTCTAGTCATAATAAGTATTATTTCACACTTGCCCTTAACTCAGACAGCCAGTTTCTATTTTATAAGGCATTATTAGCGTGAAGCTGAACTTCTCTAGTCTGACAGGTGCAATATCTGACAGGACCGATAATAACTGGGTCTTGTCGACCAGGCGGCTAGCCAAGCAACTTCAAATATACCAGGCGCCTTGAATGCTGCTTGACACCCTTGCTGCAAACCTTGGATTATCCCAACCTGCTGTCATTGGTCGGCAGATCTTCCCGCCATAGTCCGTCTGATGGGCATGCAGGGGTTTACGGCAGGTCTGCAGCGGCAGCGGCAGCGGCAGCATACAAATAACATCTGCGACCGTCATATATTATTAAACACATCTTTTTACCCCTCTCGCTCTGTGACACACTAAAGCCTTTTCACATATAGCGACACTACACACACCTGTTACTCTCAGCCAAATTTTTTCTACCGCCCTTTCAGTGCATTTCTCCGAGTTATTGTTTCACCTCCCTAAAACGTCGCTGAAAATGAAGGAAAAAGTGACCCTGCGACCTTTGCGACCGGCGGCGAAAGCCTTACACTCCGAACCGAGCTATAGCAAGCCAAAAGAAAAACGGCAGAGCGTCGCATGCAGAGCTTGTCGCGCAAAGCGGAGAAAGGTTCGTTCATCTCAAACATTGTTTACTCTTGAACCTTATTGATGGGTATTAGTGTACTGGTGCACCAATTTGCCAGTCATGCGTGAGATTGAAATTAGCTTGCGACTTTGAGCCATACAAAGATAAACGCAGGAAATTGGCGCTACAACATGTAGAGAATGCCAGGCAACGACTTGAGATCCTTTTTGAGCTTCTGCTTACATTCTTAAACAAGGAGGAAGACGAGACGATTCTTGAATGGAGAAAATGCCTGAAAGACACCCCGTCACTTGAAATGATGATCGCAGACCTAGAAAGAAGAAAAGAACCAGGCTTATGATACCATCATAAGTCATGGTACTTTGTTAACCGATAGCCGCTGTTGTTTCATCTCTTGTGCGCTATCTACTCACACAGGAGATTGAACAAGTGTATGAGTAGCAAGGCAGACCTATATTATAGATGCTGCATTGATAAACACCGAAGTCTCTTCAGCAGAAAAGCCTGGTACTTTCTTCAGCCTCCTGCTCTAATATATTGCTTTTCATTCCCTTCATGCGTCATTTGCGATCGTATGACAGCGTTTCGCCTGCTCAATCTGTTTCCTTATGTCTCTGACCCTCACGTTACCGGACGCAGTTGATCCGGTAGTGCCCGGTGTATAAGGCATTGTAGAATAAGATATTCAGTTGTTGGCGGAATTCCCTAGCTGTGGTATGAGCCTGAGTCACCCACACTGTAGTAGTACCCTATATGGGTGTTATACTTCTGCTCATTGAGTGTAGATTTCATCAAACATTACAAGACAGGTTAGTACTTACAAGGACCCTGATTGCCAGGGCTCACCATATGTGAACTAATTCAATTAGGCTAGGTCTGAGAGGAAGAATTTGAAAGACTTGGACAGGTAGAATTGTCGTGCAAGGCACTGTATCGACACATTATGCGAGATAATCTTTAATGTCTCGACTAGAGCCTTCCTCATAGGCGTACCAATGTCGCCTTATAAAGGCCTTCAGCTCAGCAAAGAATTTTTCAATCAAATTCAGATCGGGTGAGTGCAGCAGTAGAAAATTAATTTAATCCCCCTTAAGAAGTATAACTGTTCTGCTCGCTTGGAGTGATAAAATACAGCATTATCTATCAAAAGCACGGATCTCTCTTCTGGTACTCCTTACAGTATTAGATAGAGCTTTAATGAACTCCTTAGACACAACTTCATCTATTACGTTATCAAAGTTGCGAAACAGGATAATACCATCTTAGAGTACACAGGGAAGTCTGGTAACATTAATCGCAACGGAACTGGGATACTTGCAAAAGTGTAATACCACAAAGAGTCCAGCCCGTGTATTTGAATGCTATCCGTCTGTTACATCCAGATCCGTCAATAAATACCAGTTAATATGATTTGATTTAAATATGTCATGGATGTTTTCGTCGCGTAGGTCACGCTTCGACATTTTTACTTTCTGCATCTTTTTACATCAACCGACCGAGGAAAGCGCATTATTTATACTGCTGGTTATTACTTACAGACCAAACCGATCCCAGACGAAAATTGCCATCTTATCTAAGTACAAGTTAGGTTCCCCGAGAGGATCAATATAGTGCTTCCAGCATGATCATTATAATCGATTTCGCTCGCTTAACTCGAGTTGGTGGCGCTCTAGAAGAACTGGAGACTCACAGGTCGGAGCGGGTATATTCAACCGCCTGCTTACTGCATTCGGCAGCTTTAGCAAGTTTCGAGATAGACATCCCACATCTCATCTTGGAGCACCCATTGAAATTAGGTGAGAGACGTATTCACCTTCAATGAATGCGCAATATAGTTGGAAACGTCAGGACCGAATGTCACCGATAAATTATGGGTTAGCTGCTCGTAGAAGCGAAGCTGTGATTGCAGGTCCTCGGGTAACATTTAGCACCATGCGTGTACTTATTGATGAAGTATCAATGTATACCTGGAGGCTGCACCACTTATGCAACTTAGTATCTTTCTTAGTATTCAGTTTGCTTCTTGCTATGTTGATGAGCCGTTGAACATCTGTGTTATTACCACTGTCAAAGGCGGCCACCAACTGATCAAGAAGCAAAAGGATCCCATTTAGCTCCTCCTCAGTATTGTGCAACGCAAGTTTTTTCCGTCTGTCGACGCCTCTGGCAAACAAGCATTCTGTACCTGCTTGAATGCATTCATCACATGGGTGGTCTCCACGGCACTTGTAGATATATATCAGTCAGAAATTGTGTAGAAACAAAAGGAAAAAAAATAGGGGGAAAAATGGAAAGAAAAAGAAAAGAAGAAGAATGAAGAAGCAGATTTATGATGCTTACCCTGGTCTTTTTTTTTTTACATGCATCACACGCATTCGATTTTCTCTTGGCTGGCCTAACAGCCACGTCTGTCACTCGAGAAGGCCTTGCATCTGGAGCTGGAGCCAGGATCCTCAGGTTTTTCGCCTGCGAAGGAACCATATTGCTTGCAGCTTAAAGTAAGTAATATGTCTAATTTTAGAAAAGACTCTCTGATAGCTTCTGCTAAGATCAATACCTTGCAAGTGTTTTGGCTTAGCCTTCACTTTATGGCTGCGTTCCGCGTTGTTGATCTCTTCGCGGCAGAGCAAAACGGGCCGAAGACATGACATCAGTCCTTTGATGGATTTGATTCTTGGCTCTAGTACCACCTGTCACTATATAGTAAGTGGCTGAGAGGGATTTCAGAAATGTCATACGGAACGCCTAAGCAGCCACAATTCGGTTTAGTCCATTATAGTAATAGAGAGTAGGGCCTATCAGAAACTGCTTAACTTTACTGTCAAGGTTCGTCACAACGTGTGCTGGTAAGTAATCTCAACCTTAGAGAACAACATTATTGGATAACGTAGGAGAGAAGACCCTCTCCTTTTATTACAGTAAAATATTGTATTGAAAGCAATGTACTGAAAAGCAAGATCAGCAAGAAAAACATGCGATAGGCATAATTAGCTCTCATTCTAGCTAGCCAAAAACTCTCTTTTGCTGATCAAAATCCCCGCTTTATCTCTTCAACAATCGCAACCTCTTATTTCTGCTGCATTCAAACGACTCAAGGCAATGCAAATATGCTCGCTGGATATATTCAGCTACTGTTTTGGATCTGATTACTGTACATAACAGGCTGCGACTCGTGATGAGGGACCTCTATATTCTGACTCCCTTGCTTACAACTTGACACGTCACTGATACGGCAGCCATGTAACTTCTGTCATTGGCTGGTGAAATATGCCGTCGCACAGTCTCATTTGGAGGGCGCGCTAGGCGCGCCGTAGCAGCTCCTCTACCTATGGAACCGACACGTAGAACTGACGTTAATGGCTTTATGTCTAGAACAGCAGCAGACACGAGTGTGGCTTAAAAATTACCATAAAAATCCTACTAGCTTATGAAAAGGTCAGAAGACCAAAATTAAGGTTGAGATCCCTGGCCGCACAATATAAGAAATTGTAATGTGAAAATTTCCGACAGCTATGTAAGGAAAACCTCGAAACAACAGCGAGAAATATCAGCTAACGTACAGCAGAATCATCTACTGATGGCACAGTTCGGATGGGGGTTCGATCCTATCGTACACCCAGCTTGGTGTATCTATGAGGCAAAGGAGGTGCTGAAAGGAGATGAGAATACCGGATGCCAAGATCACGACCAGATACTCCCCCCAAGCATGCACTCATCGCAGCCACAAGATACTTCCTATGCCCCTACAAAAGGACTACGATTGACCGAGGAATCTGTCTGCAGCTCCTGTCTAGAATGCGACCGAGAGCAAGAGAAATTCTGGGGTTTTGACGGCGCAGTAGAAGCGCTCATCCACCGTACAGACTGAAAACCTCGGCCGTGTCCTTCACAACTGCCATGCCTACCTCGGATCCCTTCGGGCCGGTTTCGCTGGGAAACCGGTCCTGCTATTTTCGGGTCAAAGCCGGACGGCTCGACCCCTCATCAAAGGGGCCCACCAGAACCGATTACACAGCCTAGCCAAAGCCAAGGTTTTATGCTAAGGGAAGCGTATTGGTTGACTACTGCTGCAGCTTTGCCTACGATCTTCTTTCTAGCTTGTTGTGGAAGACTTGCTCTATCCCTAACTTTACGTAGGGAAGTGGATTTTCGTTTGGAGACATACGGCGTCCTGTGTGCATACAATACGCTGTGCATTAACACATTATGCCCGTACACCTAGTATTAAGCTGTCGGGTGGGATAGCTGAGTACTCTCGGCTTCACAATCTGTGCCATTGCGAGGTGTTACATGGCTCCCTACACGTATGAATCCCCGTACATGCCTCAATAATGCGACTGTATCCAGCTAATGATCATGTTTAATGGTGGATCCTCGTCAAAGCAGTATCCGCTCCTTATGTCGGCAGCACGCAGGTTGGATGCTACCACACGGTCGGAAACATTGTGGATCTCCTTGATATAACGTGGCTTAGCAAATGTAAATAGGGTCTTTTAGAAGGCCGAGAACAAAGTAACCTACTTCGTAAAATAACACATCCACGTCTTGCAACCGTTTATCAAGATCCTTGGCCGCGGAATGCCTTAGCACGTAGCTACGGTTGAGCAACCAGCGTTTAGCGGCCGCTATGCTGAGATAGACCTTGTGTGCTTGGTGGCGACGGGCGCTTGCATCTAGTATTATCCTGCTAGACCATGATAAATTGTTAGCCGGCATCGTAGAGTCGCATGTCATATATCTTACTGTTTGAGCTGTGCTGTGTAATCGAAGTCACGGGAATTCGACGTCATGTCTAGGTCAAAACTTGCCGACAATAAGCGTTGGGCAACTGTATAACCCTCTATAAACACCGTATGAACTGAACGATTTACATCCCGTAGCGGCATGCCCGTAACATGGATCATAATATGGTTCAGCATAGATCGGTAGTCATTGATGAGCTCAGCAACCCTCAGGGCTAAGACATGATCGAGAAAGCGGTTTCCATGATTTACTGGTATCTGCTAATGCGAAATAAGTACCTCATAGTAACAAGCCTCAATGCATGATGACAGGGAGATGAGCAGGATTAACTCACTTCGCTCGGAACAGAAGCCGAGCATCCCTTTCGTGTATTAGTTTGGTTGCTTCCGGAAGGAGATATGGGTACTAAAGAATTATTATTGTGGTGTTCAATTTGGCAAAAATCATTTGGAGCTGGGTTGAGGAGGTTAGCGATCTTCATTTTATCCATGCCAGTCAACATATTCTCCTAGCATGTCCCATTCGCAGGTTGTGTCAAATTTACGACACTGCGTTTTAATCACAGCATACGTGGGTTCCACCGTTCCAACAGATTCGGCAAAGATCTACATACGATATTATCACGTGATACATAGACATCGAGAAGCCATGGATGCTTGTCTATCGGATCCTCTGTTTAATGATGAGTGAGGGAGGCTTCTAAGCCACAGGAGATGGCGTCACATTTCAACTTTTGCAACCGGAGCTACAGTGGTTGGCCGCTCGCGACCTCACGGAAAGCACTTACGTAGTAGAGGTGCAGTCTCTCCTGAATCGAGGACCCGAAGAGCCGAGTGGTCCCGACCCACCCCTTCAGTTACTCAACTCCACCTTGTGGAACGAGATTGCGGAACGAGATGCGCCGGATCGGCTCAAAAGCGAAGATAGAAGAATTCCAACTGAGATGGGGGCAAATCCACGCGGGCTTTCGACACTGCACTCCCAGGCAAGCACACGAGACTCCTATATGATGGCCTAGATCGACACGAGGCATCTTTTTTGGCGCAGCTGAGAACAGGCCACGCGGATTTGCGAAGTTTTCTGTTTACAATGCAGCACGTCCTTGCCCCGAGGGCTGTTGAACTGATAAATGACTGCCGCTCTTTACGGATCAATATCATTGACTATGTCAAAAGCATGCCGCTACAAAGACTGAATGATATGCTTATACCATGTTGATAGAGAGTCATACAGCTATCAAGGACTTATTTATAACCAGTCCTGGCCTGGATGTAGGGTCAGATCTCTCTGGTTTGGATTGCATAACACAACAGCCACAGCTCAATCGGTAGGCTACATGATGCGCTTCCTTACGACGCCGGCTAAGGCATTTATGTTGGTGTCACAGGATGATACTAGATGCGCGCGCCTGTTGCTACTAAGTACATAATCTATCTCAGCATAGTCGGCGCCAAATGCTGGTCATTCAACGTAGCCATGTGCTGAGCAAGTCCAAGCCCTAGGATTTTCATGAACAATTGTAAGATGTGAATATGCTATTTTACAAGGTATATCTACTTACTCGGCGGCTCTGAAGGACCTTACTAGCGCTGACTATATCACGTCACGGAGACTCACAACGTTTCCGATCGTCTGGTAGAGTCCGGTTTACGTGCTGCCGACAGAAGGAGCGGAGATTGCATGGACGAGCATCCCCCTCTGGAAATAATCATCGGTTGGATTCGCTGGCACTACTAGGACCTATGAGGGCTCATTTATAGATCGTCACGCATCTATCACACTGACGCCGGGATGTTCCTTCTTACCATAGTCGTCTCGTTTGCGCTCAGACAGATGTTGATAACGCAAATGGGTGACCAACTTTCCCAACCCAACCTAGTTAAATCGTCTTGAATCTAGCTCATCCACCTATGGGCCGAAAAGATACTAGGAGCTGATAAGAAGAAATCTACTGTATTGGGAGATAGATATAGCGATGAGAGTATCCCCGAAAATTATGTGGCAATTAGTCCCCGAGGAGGACGCCGTAACAGGAAGCGTGAGAATTAAAAATTGCTGCATACCTTGGCGTCCATGCGCAAATAACTCGGATGGGCCCCCGAGGTTCAAAAGACAAGGCCTAGTCTCCCTGTGTATATGATGCATGTCTGTATACAACGGTGCATTGGCAGGAAGAAGAGAACAGAGCAATATTCGTACCAATTATTCAAAGAAACCTAGCTAGAATAGTTGAATATCGTTTATCTTCATCTTGTTTAGTACATGTGAGCTGACCATCCAAGAGTTGGTTTAAAATTTGCCTAACGTATTTCAATAATAACAAGTTTGTCCCTTGGGTTACCCTGGCAAATAAGTGCAGTATATAAGGTAGTGACATTTTGCAGGGAGGATATCGAAACCATCAGCATCCCACTTGAACCTGTCCCTTTCAATGGCACGCAGGGCCAGGCCTTGGTCTTGAACTTCGAGGTTTGATTGCTATTTTCTATGTCATATTCTCCGGAAATATCGACTTAAAATTTCTTGAAGGCTTTGGACGTTCCTGCCGACGCTAGCTTCGACAACTTGCAGAGTAGGCAACGAAGTATACACTGTATATTACTGTGTAGCTGTACCGCTCGGTTGACGAATTCATCAAGCTTCTCCGAGCCTTCTAAATCTGCAGTAGCTGAGCCGATGTCTGACTCCTTTAATAGCAACTTCTGTGCTAGTTCCAGTGACTCTGCGCTCAGTAGAGAAAGCTATCCTCAAGCATTAGGAAGATTTCGGTACGCCCAAGTGATGGGAAAGGTTGGAGATACCTTCTCAAGGCAATCTGTAGCCGCCCCAAAGTCGTCCATTCCTTCTATGCAGGGACAGCAGAGGTCCCTATGCAGGGCGAACACAAAGTCAAGGGCCACTCGGGTCGAACGAACCGTTGATGTGTAACACAGTTCTTGAGTGCCTTCTTTCACCATTTTTTGTGTGTCCGAGTCATTCAAGAAAATATGTTGACTTTAATTGCAGGAACGAGACTCAGGAATCGGAAATGACTTTGCCTTCCGGAAGGCTAGGATGTGGCAAGGGCACTATGGTGCTAGAAAATAAATGTGAGGGTTTTCGTGTTAAGAACTACAAGACTTAACTATAGAGGAGAATATGAGTACCCTATCCCTAAGGATTACGGAGAGACGGTTGTATCAGATGCACCAGGTCATTATAGCTGGACACCCGGTGACCAGATTATCATAGCCAGTAGTTGCCTTGCCTTGCCAAGCCTGCAGTTGCGGCGGCAACCGAAACATCTTACACGTATTCAGAGTCCGGAAGGGGCTATGCATATGCGCTGTGATTCGGGTAACAATTTCCGGTCGACAATCGACATAACACGATCGATACACGGCTTGGGGCCGCCTATCTTTTCCGCCTTGGAGCTTAGTCAACGCAGTCTAAGTAGACCTTGGGGCGGGGACGCTCGTCTGTATCCCGTCTTATACTGTATCAAGCACTCCTCTATCTAACGGATGCAAACCAGTTTCGGCCAGACCAGCAACTTCCATTATAAGATGCTGCAGATGCCCGGGCACTTTCACAATTACGTAAGATGTGTCACTATCCATTCGCTGCCTCTTCTTGGCGCATCCAGCCTTTACGTCACTTACGAAGGCAGCGCCAAGTAAAAGCGGCTAGAAGCTTTACTAGCATCTGAAATAATCCAGGATCGGCGTCTCGGCAGCCACCATTAGTAGGAAAGTGAACATTACGAAGTCGGCCTATCATATGGACTTCTATCCATCAAGCTTGGGAATGAGAAACCCCTGAGCCATCATCACATGCAACTATACCAGAAAGACGCACATCATAATTGAACACCTCTAATCGGTTGTGCCGGTGCTCTGGGGGCAACCTCACCAACCACCTGTCTTTTACTGCACCTGCGGCCTGTCTGCCAATCAGCTTGCCCATTGAGATCTTCTGTGCTTACTGTCGAGCCTGCGTGTCCTGCGTATAAGTTCCTGATATAACTTTCAATAGCATTCCTGCTTCCCATACGCAACTGTGGACCCCTTTTTTCCCCCCCCCTTGCTTTTCTTCGATTTTCACTTCTTATCACAGTACGCATTCGGGTCATCGTTCTGAAGTATTAGTTCACCCTTACTATTACTTTTATCTCTATCTTCTTCGCTTTCCTTGTTCAAGTTTCTTCTTGCACTGAGATCGTGTTTGCTTCCTGTGCTTCTGGTACTACTGCCAGTCAGGCCACTCTCAGCTAATTCTTGGTCGCCGCTCGCCTCTCCAACAACATTATTCTGCCCTGCGTCCCCTCGACCATGGGTTTCTGCGAAGACGGTCGCGGTTTTCGCTGCGACTGGGTGCATTGTGACAAGGTATAGGCATATGTTCTGCCTGGTCTCTCCCCTTTTTTATTTTCCAATTCGTGATCGAGTACTCGATGGGATATTGCCTTCCACGCTGACGGTAGCAGGTCTTCGGTCGCAAGGCAGATCTACGCAGGCATTACCGAATACACATCAACGAGCTACCGTATAATTGCACCGTCAACAAGTGCGACAAGAGTTTCATTCACCGGAGCGCATTGATGGTTCATTCGCGGATCCATACTGGGGAGAGGCCTCATGTCTGTGACAACAGTGGTTGCCACAAAGCTTTTTCTGACGTACGTAAAATACCCTCCTACCCTTGTCCCTTAATGCTAACCGCCACAAGTCATCAAGTCTAGCCCGTCATCGGAGGGTCCATACAGGAAAACGACCCTATATTTGCCAGGAGTCAACCTGCAAACGAACGCAAGTAATATCCCGGTTGTTATGCTGCTGACTTTCTAGGAACATGAAGGTTCTGCCGCAAGGCGAGTTTGACCAGACATCAACATCGGTTCCATCCCCCAGAAACCGTGTCATCTCTGCCCTCAAAGACCGGGGGCCTAAAAATCCAGCATCCTGTGCAAGTCGCATTTTTCGATACAACTAACCAATATCCTCCAAACCAATTGGCACCATACCGTCATGATCCACAACCAACTCCTGACCTTCAAGCCCAAAGTCTCCACGGAACGCCGGTGGCTTTACAGGATCGAGGCCCGATCGTTAGGCAGCCTTTACTGGTCACATCACTGGTAGACATACAGCGTGCTCAACGCCACTACATGCGGCTTGTGCAGCTCTATGATCATGGTTGTCAGAATTTTCCGCTAGGACTTCAGACCATGATATAATTTTTCAAGGGCGGAACTCCCTTCACTTACATTCAATAGCACTCAGATGTGAGTAGAAGCTGCCAGTCCGCATTCTGAAGCAGCCTGAAGAGACGGATGGGGTTTGTTTCTAGATGAACTGAGAAGATTTTGGATAGCGACTGCTTTGGGGCAGGAGTTATATCGCGTTAGCAATATGAGCTGGCGTCTTATCAGGTTTAATTTACAACTTTGCTCTGGCCAGACGCCTCATTGACTGGTTCTCTTCCCCATCTCCCCCAACAGCGTCTCCTTTGCCATTTGCTGTGGGCGGGACTGCTCCTTGGGTTTGCGCGTTGTTCTCTGCTTCTGGATAGCGACTGCTTTGGGGCAGGAGTTATATCGCGTTAGCAATATGAGCTGGCGTCTTATCAGGTTTAATTTACAACTTTGCTCTGGCCAGACGCCTCATTGACTGGTTCTCTTCCCCATCTCCCCCAACAGCGTCTCCTTTGCCATTTGCTGTGGGCGGGACTGCTCCTTGGGTTTGCGCATTGTAACATGCTACGAAGAGTTTCTGTGTTTGGGAGGCTTTTTTACTTTCTTTTCTATTGTCCCCCTTCTGTGTGAGGCCAAGGAGGGAAAGGGACTCGGATGCAGTCTATGATCCTTTTTTTCAGCGTATTCTATGTTCGCTTTGCGCCCGTTACCGCGCTACATAGTTGACGTATCATGCGTGCAGGCGTGGGTTTGGCCTGTTCGTTTGCAAACTTCCAGTCGCTGTCTAAACGTCGTTAGCCCTTACATATCCATCAAGAAAGAAGGAGGCAAACATGCCATCGGACGCCTGAACTACGCATCTTAAATCGTAAGGTGCAATGGTACAGGCTGAGACGGAAGTGGGGTATATGGTTGCCCGCGGTCCTTCTCTGAGTCTGGTTGTAACTAGAATAGCAGTGGGCTGTACCTTTACTGGCTCCAAATAACGGTTTGTCCTGCTGTTACCATGAAGTCATGCAAATACGCAAGTAAATCTTTACCCTTTATGTACTAAAGCATGACCGAAGTATGCACCAAAATATGGACTCCCGTAAGATGTAAGACCGTAGGTTTTCGTATTCTTTTAAGCGATTTATTGGAGAAGGGAGGAGCATGCGTTCACCACTGCTACTGTAAGGCACATATATGAGTTTTCCTCTCTGGCATCGTGCTCCCGTATGAAAATGATGTTATCTTCCTCATACACAAGTACCTGCTCGACATATTGCACATCGACTTGAAACATAGTTTGGGAACAGAACATTCTACCCCTGTTGCTGATTTACTATCTGTATCTATGTATCCAATACTAGACTTCCGGACAGACCCAACTCTGCCCGGCTCGTTTGCTTCCAATTAGGAATTGGTTCGCCTGCATGTGCACCTAAGGAGCGAAGGCCGCATTGGCGTTTATGCGATAACAACTTGTGTGACCTGAACCGCGCTTGAGGGCCTATTAGTCGTTTGATACGAGTAACGGCGTCTTCAAAACCGAAGGCTGAGAGAGCACAGCAAATACTTGCTTTCCGCAGCCATGTCACCAGCAAACCGACTCCTCGCGGAGAGATAATAACTATCACTTATGAGGGCAAGGAGACTACGGCCTATTCTGACGCTTTCTTTATACGACTAGGTATTAGTGTCTTTCCGGGTTCAGTTGCCCCAGTCTAGGAGATACCGCATTGGCCACCAACAAAGTCAAACTGGGTGGTTGCCTACGTCTCACTTGGTTGCCCTACCCCAAAGGATTGGACACTGATTAGGAGTCGTACATGGTAAGATGATCTTCTGCCCGGTCCCTACTGTTGCCCCTGGGCCAGACAGCAAGCAGTTTCCCCAATTTATCATACTCTGGACGTCGAATCAACCAGAGGACAAGTGCATAGTACGCCGAAGGACCTGGTGAATAGATACTGCGATAAAGGCGCAGCCAGTAGTTCGAAATTCCAAACTCCAAGGTGCTATGGCGTGGTTACCAAATGCTTCAAGCAAATAAACGTAGGATGTTGACCACAGGAGCTGGTAGTGTCATATGTTAGATTGCTTCCACATCCCCCACAGCAGAAAGGGTGCTTTCGGCTCGGCCTAGTTTATAGGCTCGAAGGCATGTGGAGCTGAGACTTAAATGACGATCCCTCAACTAGAGACAGGGACAAGTTTGACTAAAACATCCCCGGAGGTTGGCCCACCGACGGGGGCTTTGAAACCCGTCGCACAATTTGAATAAATGCTGGAAATATACTACCCTGTATTCTGGTGTTTATCTACTTAATAGGTGTTATGCCCGAGGTTCACATAACCGCCCAGTCATTGGGTGTCTTTGATGCAGGTCTACGTACGGAGTTGTATTGGTGCGAGGCAGAGGTGGATAATCCCTGTGCCATCCGCTATATGTATTCAAGCTGAAGTTTAGTTTCTCTGGCTGCGCTTCTAGTCTGTTCCTGAGAAGCGGACCGACTATACTATGATTCCGTGCCATGATAGGCACGATCATCTCATCATATCTTTGTATTTTACTTCGGCTGCTTGGGCAAGTAAGTTCAGAATACAAGCTAAAGCGGTAGCATCCCTCGTGAAGCAGATGAAGGTGATTCATATCCCATCTGTGTGTGCCTGCATCAATGGCATGCAGGGTGAAATATTCTATATTAAGCTTCCAGTGTCATTCATAAGTATTCCTTCTCCGGAATCGTGGTTTTCTAGAGTTTAAGCTTAGACTTCATTGACGATGCCATAATTAACAACATGCAAAGTAGGCACCAGTAAACACTACATATTGTCTTGTAGCTGTGGTGCTCTGTTGATAAGGTCATGGATACCCTTCGGGGGCCTTTCGCATCTAATATAACTGGCTAATCTCTGACCCTTTCGACAGTAGGTTCTATGCTAGAGTCCAGGGACACTCAAGGTAATATTAAGATTGAAATGCTATATGATATATGGTGCGAAATAACCAGAACATAAATGGGGGAATTGATCACCTTATGTATCAAAGCACACTTGGAGATGGTTACATGAGGTACATCTGGGACATCATTTCTAGCATTTACTTTCCTGTTGACCAGGTTATTATAGCCAGTAGTTGCCTTGACTAGCCTACAGTTGCCTTCGCCTCAGCGGATCGACGGACAACCCAAGCGTAAAGAGCCATACGACAAAAAAGTAATAAGAGTCCTGATGTGGCTGTTAGAGCGCGGTGTGATGTGGACAAGCCACTTCCAGTGATAACGGTGGTGATTGCATTTAGCTGTATGCCGAGGATGCATAGTTAGGCGCAAACCTGGAGCAAACCGGGGTTAGAGGTTCCGGTCAGGGCCTCAATAATCGAAAGTCGCTCAAGGCAATCGAGCGAATGAAAAGCCGGAGCAATGGCTTGAACGTACAGGCCTGCCAAGGCTGCTTTACACCAATTGCAAGGGATTTGGGAAGACAGCGACGGGAAAAGGCGGCTAGGACTGCCCACGGGCGCCTCCGCCCCCACAAAAAGCGAACCTAGCTAGACCTGCAATCGAACAAGACCTACCTAGAGCATGACCAGGAAGTCAAGACCTGATCTTTCCGTACTATCTCGTAAGCAGTCCCTACTGGTGTGACAGGAGCCTCTTCTTATGCGGCTTGTATTATAGTTTCTCTTGAGCGATTTACAACGCTGGCGTGACCCGAACCTACGGCGGCGTAATGAACGGGCACCGGTGAAGCTCACGAAAGGGGAGCAAACAAGAAGATAAGATATTCACTGGGGTCCTATCACTGTTGACTAGGTTCGGGACCTCAGCCATCGCTACTTTCAAGCTTTCAAATATCGTCTCAGGCGACTGAGCACTGCCAAGGCATCTCCTCCATTTGAGAATCGCTTCATCACTTTTGCTTGCAAGGAATATGATTAGACGCTTGAGGAAATCCTCCAGTCGTTGCTTGGCTCCCTCGGCGTGTCGTAATGCCATCTTTCTGCGCTTGTCTTTATGTAGTTCGAACACGCATACTGAGTTTGAGGCCACGCAAAATTGGCAAAGCGGTGCGCCGGTACACTGTTTTGGTCAATTACGTGATTGCAATTACAAAGCTGTGGGGTGAAATCACCTTTCTTCGCTTTCTGCGACAAGCTGTGCATGCGAGATTTTGCCGCCTTGTAGCTGGCTTGCTGTAAGTTGGTTCTGTTTGTAGGGCTCCCTCGTCGGATGCAAGGGGCACGTTCTCCATCATGATCATCGACTCAATGGACAAAAAGGTCAGATACACGAAAAAAAAAATAAAAAAGAAAACCTGAGGTGATAATATGCTAGGTGCGTCTATATCAATATGAGCGGGTGTCATTCTAAGATATTAACGGAGGAAGAAATTAAGCCCGCATATATGGATCAGGATCCTGTCCCACTCGGCACGTGCTCGTACCCCTAGAATGCCGGGCTGCTTGCCCACAGCTTTCTGCGGTGTGTACCTTAGTGGGTTGCCGCTTTTACTGCCTGTTGGCATAATGAGCGAGCAGTGGATGATCTGCGCATATCCCTTGCGTGTCCGATGAAGGAGCATCAAGGGAGGGCAGGCTTCGCCGACTAACGACAGCAGATGCAAAATTCTCGTGTTCGCAGTTAGGTACCACCGCATATATGAAGCTCTCGCTAAAATAGGGCCGGCTGCAGCCCCAGCTGCATTGATCGTATGGTGGCAGCTGAGAACTCCGTTCACACATCGTTTCGCCTTAGGAACACTGGCTGTTTGGCCTGGAAGAGAAGGTAGGGCTGACTAGATATGATTATACCTTCGTTTGTTACTATAGCATTCCTCCGCAGTACCTATTACACGTTCCCTCTTGTCGATCGTATTGTGCGATCAGCTTAAAAGATAAAAGGGTTAGAGGCGGACAGAAACGAATATCCTGATTTCGTTGGAAGGAGCGGAAAACGGTGCGTTTATATACATATGCTTTGCAATGACATGTACCTGATGCTATCTGGCAAATGGCAGGTAATGTTTAAAATTGGGGTCATATCTCTATGGAAATTGAGGACATCTTTGCTACACAGGGGCGGGATAATTCTCCAAGGACTGCGATATCCCTGGTTTGATGAACAGGACGGAGTAGTACTCCATTATGTTCTGGAGACAACCTTGACAACCACAATCTGGAACAGTACCATCCCAATTTTCTCCGGAATGGTCATGTCCTACTAGGGTTTCTAATTTTAGGATCCCGTTCGGGACTACTAGGGAGACTAGAGGTTTCTGTAGGAAGTAACACACACCTGCATACCCGCTTTGGTATGCACCCATTGCCGAAGGGGCTAAACTGTGAGCCAATGGCGGGATTTCCTTATGTTTGCCATGGAAGACCAAAACATTGGATACTCTCGTGCTTCGACCGTGTTTTCTCTGCCTTCAGTTCAACCTTTCGTGGCAGTCATCAGTCAGAGTGGAGCTAGGTAATGCTGAAAGCCAATTATAACGCATTTGTAGTGTAACCAAATTCGGCCATGGAACAAACTATTGCTTGGTTCTAGTTAGCATAAGACAAGGGCACGTTGCATTTTTTGCCGATCAGGTTCACTATCATCGGCATCTTCTCACCACTCCCAAATGAACAACAAACCACAACCCGTGTTGATCCCTCACCACCATAGATGGTCATGCCAGTAGCTTGATCTCGGGGGTCAGTCTCCTCTTGAACCTTTGGTGGGAATAACATAAAATACCTTAACAATATGGTTCCTTCAGCAACTTGGACGATGGACCGTAGCACTCAGGCGGGCAAGCATACACAAACGTGGAGACGACAGAAGGCCGCATCCCTGTACAGCCCCCCTAGCCATTAACCGAGTTTTATGTCCAGCTTGCCTCTTTATCTATTTAAGAGTATCGTTCTATCCATCAATCAAAACAGCATCTTGAGGCCGGCCACCATGAAAAGACACATAGGCGCTTTCTGGACGCTCCTCTCGAGCTACCTCCCTCTGACTGCTGCGACAGCATGTTACGCACCCGATGGATCCCTCATTGCCAACTCCATATACCAGCCGTGCATTTCCATACCTGGCGTCCATTCAATGTGCTGCAGGCTCAACAGTGTCGACCCGGATAAATGTGATCCAACGGGCCTTTGTCTGACAAGCGGAGGGGGATATTATCGGGAATTTTGCACCGATCAGTCTTGGAACTCGACGAATTGTTTGCCTAAAGATATCTGCAGTGATCAGGTATGCCTTATCTCAGTGTAACAACGGAAGTCTTACTGATAATTTTGGCAGAACGGCGGCAACTCGGACAGGACCTACCAACTGACCTCCTGTGGAGAGGGACTTTGGTGTTGTGGTAGTTCTACCTCTTGCTGCAATACACACGAGACATTCACCCTGAGTCCGACACTGCTCAATTTTGATTTAGATCCTTCTTCTAGCCTATCCGCTACCGCTGCTCCTACAACAACGGTAACTGTTGTCCCGACAGAAGGTAGTAGCAGCAACAAGGGCGAGCCCCAGATGTTGACGAAGGTGGCAATTGGAGTCGGGGTGGGTGTCCCGTTGGCATGCATTGCGGTAGGAATGCTCGGTGTTGGATGTCTCCTGGGCAGAAGAAGCACGCAGAAGGCCCTGTCGCCGGCGAAACCTAGACATCGTGTAATGAGTATCCCGCTGGAGAAGCCTAAAGGGGAGATAGGGTGTTCACATTGGTCTGATGATGCTGCGAGTACGTCCAAGTGCTTGGAAATTGTACGTAGCAGCTGAATGATAGGACTAAAGTAGGGACAAGACGAAGCGTCTCGCTTTTGGTGGCTTATGGTGGCTGTCTCCATATATTCACTACACGGTGCGGATGTTGACATCACCGGCTATACCTACTAATTCTTGGTATTTGTATAACAAAAGCTTCTATCATAATGTGAATCGAGGAAGCCGAATCTTCTCCTGACAAACTTGTAGATCCTTGTTAAGTCCCCACTATGTAGAGCCTAGAGTCTATGAACGCATGGTATCTTCAGATGTAACTATGTCATGCACAAGAAGCTCCGGTAAGGGCTAAGCTGCCCAATGACATGTACACTCATCAAGGTATGGTGATTCCCAAGAGGAATCATTTGTGATCTGATACTGCTTCAAGTGACCGTACCTTTGGCACCAGAATATTATTTGTATTACCCTTTCCACTCATCCTGCTCACAATGACGGGCTTTCTCCCTTACACCCAAATACTGACCAACAATCAATCGAACCAGTACAACCGACCGCCCCCAGTTTTATAAAAGCAAGCATCATGTCTGATCGTTATCCTTAGAATCTCTGTACTTGTAGTATCTATATGGGTTGTAGAAACTAGGGTTTCCTGGCTCGATTTTAGCAACCACCAAATTATTGATAAGATACATCAACACGTAGAATAGTTAACCTTGTAAGGTCTTTAGAAAAGGTGGAAATTTGATCTGGTTATAGTATCAAAGAGTTCATTTCCATGTTATATTGTCAGACGTGATATACTAAGCTATTGAATCATTTTCTAGGGCATAAAGAATAACATAGCATACTTCAAGTAAAAATCCATGAGAGTGGTCAATTGCTACTAGCTCGGCTGTATAGACCGAACAGTGCACCATCAAAGCAATACTGAATTTGGCGAGACCTTCTCATCTGCTGGTTGCAGTCGAGGGCCACTGCTGCAGCCACTAGTTCCTCCTCTTTCTTCGGGGCGTCTAAGAAAACTGTTATACTGGCTTAGGCCTCTCCTGATAAAGCAATAGCCCGTATCTTCCCTTGACCCGCCTTGAATTTGGTATAATGAAGTATTGTGTCTGCCACTGTGCTAGGAGTTTTGGGTTGATATGTGTGAATGATTTCCAACGCCTGTGCCGGGTTAAAGAATTCATTGTCTGCAGTGTTTCTGCTAGGGTATAAGCTTGAGTACGGATGTCTTTCCGGTTCGTCCAGAGGCCACTCACCCTTGGCAGTCACCATATGAGCAAAAGATGTAAGCTGCACATAAGATCCGTTTATTGACAAGGCATAGAAGAGTCCTGCATCTGGTTTTTAGTATCTCTGTACCGAAGCGGCTCTCACTTCTGAGTCACTTGTATCCTTCCTGAAATTTGCTAGAGGATACATAACTGAAAGAAGACATTTTCGTGTGTTTCCGCAGTGAGTATTTGGCGGCAGGAGAACCTGATTGTGCCGTTGACCACAGGCACGAAAGTCTGCGGTGGTAAGGGACCAACAAGCTTCCTGGTTGGTATAATCGACGGTCTGGAGAATATTTGTTTGATAGTGAACCTGACTGGCAAGAATAGTTACCTACTATTGTGTAATGCAGACATGGGAATGATGTTTGTGAACTGAAATTATAGCATATTTGCATCGTTGGACAAAATCTGGATACACCTTAGATCTGTCATGATAGGCTCTTAGCCATACCAGACTCCACCTTAGACGATGATTGGCACAGGAATGTGCATCTGCATGCAAGGAATATGGGGCCGTAGCACGAGGACCCTCGGAGTTGGTCACACCTCCGCGGCAACGTAGAGATTTCCCACCAATGGTTCTTTACAGACTAGGCCGCCTTGGCAACGGTTGCATTCCAGAGTGGGTATGCAGGTATGTTACTGCAGGCGCGGAAATCAATTCCTAGAGAGACCCTGGGTTGCCCTAATGGCTCCAAATGGGATCCAGAAAGAATGAGGAAGGCCCAGGAGGGCATGCCTATCCCGGGAAAGTATGTGATGATACTGTTCCAAATCGTAGTTGTCAAGGAAGGCTCTGGAAGATAAGGGAGTTACCGTTACCTCGCGTATTCCAGAAAACTGAGGCCGCAACCCTGGGAGTACTCAACCCCCGTTGTAGCAGAGGTGGTCCCATCTCATAGGTCATAAATCGACTGTTAGAACACTGTTTAGCGGTCTGTCTTACTGTAAATTCAAGTGTTAAAGGTCATTGAACGGCACACACGCGAATGCACCATTCCCCACGCACCCCGACGGACAAAAGATTTGCTTTTTCATCTCCCACCATTTAATATCGGCCTAAAAGGCCGAATAACATGGTTGACAGGGGATCCAGTGACATGTAATAGTATGATAGGATCTTATAGTAAGGAAACAAAGCTGGATTCAGCATCACCCAATCATGCCTTTTCCTCTCAAGTCGAGCAACCAGTGTCCCTAGGCAGTAGTTTTTCGCTGCCATCACAGCGACGCAAACGACGACTTCTCGGGCTTGTGAGAGGTTGCAGCTGTTTTAGGAACTTATATATATTAAGTTATGGAAGCGGGGTGACGCCTCACCTCACTGCAAACACCGGAATCTTGCATCTGCCCTTGTAAATCGGGTTGGCAAGTGTTACCTTTCCGTCAATGCTGCTTTTCTGGGACATGCAAGGGGTATTGCGCCGATTACCTCTAGAATCGGTTAATCTAAATAACTCGTAGTAACCTGGAAGGCGCAGTCCACGCTTAAAAAATTTGGTAGGTGATTAACGCGTAAGCGGGTTTAGATGGATTGTCAAGCAGTCGTTTCCAGTAGCTTCAACTGAACTTTTGACAGCGTTATAGGATACGTCATTATATTAGGCATCTAACCTTTTCTGACGCTTCCAAATAAGAACGATAGCGTACATCAAACCACGCGGTTGCAAGTCCGAGAGAATAACACCCACCCCTAGCCATCGCCGTTCAGAAATACCGTTCCTTTATTGGGCGCTGCCAATCTAGCGTTTGCCCGGTGTACCTTACCTCAATCAAATTTAAGCGATCCCAGCCACGAATTGGCCTCCTGCATTTAATGATTTTTGCAACAGCAGCCTTCTACGTTATTATTTTAAGTCCGCAAACGAGTCACTGTGACTACACGTGGACTTTATGCATGTATCGAAAGCTCGATTTCCACGGTTCATATTTCATTATCGTCACCTATCCTTCGGATTACAGTCCCAGTAGCGGCCTGTACTCATCGCACGGTTTGATTGCTTCCCACGGGTGATCCACATCCGGAGACAGGCTTTCCCCTTCTTTCTCGCATCCTGAGCTCTTTGCTCGTTTACGTTCTTCCAGGCGTACCGATCTTCCAATACACCTTTCCACTGAAGGATTCGAAACCACCGACGGAGAATATACAGGAGCATCATTGTCAGGCTTCCCATGGCTGAGGAGGAGATTGCCCGAAGGGGTGGTGCCGTTGGCCACCCTCTGGCGCAGCTGCTTACAGTACCGGCTATCAACGGCCTGCGATGTAACGCACAACAGTCTATAATGCAGGATTTACAGTAAGTGTCTTCCCAATCTGGTTGCATTACCAAGCGTTCAGCGTACCTTTGCAAATGCTGGCTGCGCCGCATGTTGCAATTTAATCTATAGATCCGGTGTGGGGTTAGGCGTCGGATATAAATGTTTTCGATTTCGAATTTCTACCGTCATTATTGACGATTTGACGATTAGAATGGGAAAAATGTCCAGCAGATGCAGCTTACTGACCTGGGCCCGTCCTTCCAGTATTTCGCAGTATCCTACATCCAATCCCATGAGCCCTGCTCACACGTGCTCTGGTTCATCTCCCATCCTTACTCTCCTTCCCATTATGTCATTTGGCTAACATGTGCCCTTCATCTATTATGATGAGGGTGAAACACAGGAAAAATCTTCCCGATGTTGAACTCACTCTACACGTATTCGCCAAGAATGCTGTATCATAGAATGTCGAACACCATATCCCATCGGGTATCCTCACTGTGAGTTTGTCTCAACTGTTAATCCACCGTTGGATGTGCCTATCACTAAGAAATTCAGGGACCTTTACAGCCAACCGTCCGCCGATATGACACTCAGCCTGCAGTCCCAAAAAATTGTCGTCCCTGGCAGTGCGTCCACCTCTGGAAGAAGTGATTGGTATCCAGAAGCCTACAGTCTCCATCAACAATTATTCTTAACACCGCTCTCAGATATGGGGAAGATAACAAGAACTGCATGCTTTGCAACAGCAGATAGAGCTCTGAAGAACTCTAATGAGCGATCTCAGGCTGTGTATCTCGGAGCAGAGAATATGTTAATGGGCCAAGCTCAGGGGCGGTTGCCAGAGCCATTTGCTGGCTCTCCTCCTTTCTACGACACTATGTTGCTTCTACCTGTCGTTTGCGGGACTTCAATCATCAAGCCTGAGATACTGGCCGAGATACATAAAGGTTTCTTCCAGGTTGATAATAAGTGGGCGTGTTATAGGCGGAACTACTTTTCAATTTCGTGTTCGTTTACTATGCAACCTTGGCCAAGCGCTCCGTTGTACGTGAAGCTTTCAAATCAGTGGACAGAACGCATTACAAGGTTCGCCATGTCAATCTCCGCCATTGTGAATCAACAGGTCGCAGAAATCCGCGACTTGGTTCAACACAGCCCAAAACGGGATAAGCAGTCGGGCAGAAAACCGGGAAGGGTTATATTGCAGCCCTGTCAGCCTGAGCACTTGGTTGTTGGTCATGAAGCATCATCAAGCAGCATTCTACATGGCTTACCAAAAGGCTATCAGTCTACTGAGAGGCCCCTGGGTTACGAGGAATATCCGGGAGTAGTCCAGCCTTCACCACCCCCATACCGGCACACGTTCGAGCGGGTCCAGTTCCAGAAGGCGACCGCGAACAACGGAAAGCGGCGAGCCCAGCAGCAGTACTACAACCTAGTCGTTGAACTCTATGCTGAGGTCGCCAGCTCTGCTCGGGGAACTGAAAGCCAGTGGATCCGGGTTGCCAGGCGACTATCGCATCCAATGGTAGTCCGGGGTCGCTCTCCAAATCACTTCAAAAACAACCGCCGCGACAGTCCGGCAAGCATGGGTCTCTCAAAAGGAATAAAAAGTAACCACGAAGACCAGCATAGTACATGACCACAACGGGTCACATGTACGACGCTAATCCGAAGCAGATGTAGTGTCAGATAGTACTATACTACATCCAGGCCGCTTTGAGTTTCACCTCATATAAGCAAGTCCGACTTGGAAAAGCGCGGCGGATAGGGCTATATCTCTTGCTAACGCTGTGTGACGTCGACGCGGGCGGCGGCGGGCAATAGAGGGAGTGCAAGACTTGGACAGTGCCCTGAGGGCCTGAGAAATGAGAATTATTCTGGGTATTCCCATATCCTCATGCACTTTCGATGTTCCCACTATATTCTGCTTAGCTAGTCATTGTCCTTTCTGAGCCACTAAACGGATTGAATTTCTGTTGATCGTGATCGATGTATAAACGACTCCCCAAGTATGGGTCCGGCAAAGTTAGCGTTTAATTGCGGTTCCTTGTAGCGCACCAGAACTGATCTCAGCAACAAGCGATCATGCATCCAGAACCGGGAAAGGTGAGGGGTGTGTATTGACGCTTGCTTCACGTGCGACCCTACAAAGGTATGGAGTATGCAAGTACACACTTACATAAGACGGCGCCAACGAAAGTGCAAATATGCTTCGTTGTAAGGAAATAGTTCTCGTCCTACCCCTGTGGGCGGGTGTCATTCTTCCTAAGGCTTGCAGCCCCAAGGTTCATGGTTCGCAATGTTTTAGCCAGGGGAAAGCAAGCCCCCCTGCGGGTATAGGTGCTGCGTTCCTTTGCTCGGCGTATTACCTGGTGAACCGGGTGGTCATCTGGCAGAGTGCTGAAGCGAGCAGCCACTATTTATCTCCACTGCTTGAGTCGCAAGTGGGTTGGTAGGATATAAAACTCAACTTTAAGTACAGCCGTAGATACTGTCCGGAAGACTGAAAGGATTTAGATAAGAGCTGTTCTCTGTACCATCTCCAGAAATTACAGATATATCTTATCTCGGAGCGGATTGTGCTAGACTGTAGATATGTAGTCTAGAATTAGTATTACGCATGCTTGGTATAGCTGATGTATTAGCTCTGGTCGGAGATGTCTGAGCCCGCTCAGGGTTATATTTACTTTAATTACTTATTTAACCACTTCTTAGATATATTCCTTCCAGCGCATCTCTTTGTCAAAGATCACTCTAAGAAGTTTTGCAGTGTCAGCTGGTTTAGTAGCCTGGCTATCAATAATAATTTATCCTTTTCCGTGGGTTGCTTTCTGCCTGGTAAAATGAATTAATTCAGTCTTTTCAGCAGCAAAGAATGCACCTGTTTATTATATTTACTTTTTAATTCAGGGAATATCTTCTTCCTGGATCTTCTTGATATTCTCTTCTACTGTTGGGTAAGATCGCCAGTGGAAATAGTCATTAATAAAAGCTAATATACTGCTATTTTAGTCTACTACTTGGTCCACTAGGTCCGAGTTATAGAATCCAAATAGAATTAGTAAAAATGGGAATCCTTGTGCCAGTCTGGTATATTCCAGTGGTAAATTTTCATTCTCAGAATTATTAAATATAATGCTCGCTTGGCGGTCTTCCATGAAGCTGCGGATCCATTACTAGACCTTCGGTGGGATACCTTTGACTCGCAGCCGAGCGTCAAGGCTGGTTTAGTAGACTCTATTGAACACGCCTTTTAGATCAAATGCAATCAGCATTACCATCCTAGACTGTTCCCAAGCTTGGTATACTGTATTGGCCAGTACCAGCAGAGCTTGCTTGGTATTTCGTCCTGGTCTATCTCTAAATTGTGTGTCCGGGAATAGCTTGAATCTCTCCGCCCAGTAGAAGAGTCTTCGGGCCATAACGGCTTCTAGTAGCTTCCCCAGCATGCTCAGTAGTGATATCAGTCAGTATACTCCTGGTGCTGAATAGTCTGGCTTTCCCGGCTTCCGCAGCACTACGATCCGCGCCTGTTTCCATTGTCTGGAATAATAGCCTAGATCCACTGACTTGGTGAAGACAGTAATAATCATTGCTTTCAGGTATATCCACAGGTGTTTCTATACAAGCATGGAAATTCTATCTCTACCTGGGGCTGTAGTTCCCTTGGCGGCTTGGAGAGATTGGTAAATCTTCTGTTCAGTAATTAGCTTCCATGGCAGTTTTTCTGTGGAATTGCTTTCTACTTTACTTCGGGTTCTGCTATTTTTAGAAAAAAGAAATCAAGGAATGTCTCTACTTTCTTTTAGTTGTTAGTTATCTCCTCCGTGCCCACTTTAATCACTGGAATGCTCGTATAAGCGTCTTGTGGGCGCATATAGATGGCTGCTTTCCACAGATAATCTTTGCCTGCTTTGTCAAGAAACTCCCTCCAGTGACTTGTTTTTATTTTTTTAATTGTCCTTGTCCATTTACATCTTCTTGCGCGCATTTCTGCAAACATTGCCTTGGTTATTGTGTGGTTAGATCCTAGGATGGCACAACTGTCTTACCACCTCCGGCGGGCTTGGTTAACTTCTATCTGTTAGATCTTGAGATCTGCTGTGAACCAGCGCTTCAAGTATGGACACGGTGCCTGTACTGGCACATGCTGGTCGAGCGCAGTTATTGTAGTTTGAATCAGATAATCAACCGCCTGATCTAGATCCCGCTCGGATTGAATTCTTAACTGTGGGTTAATCGACCTCATTATTATTTGGTCTACTCGGGCCCAGTCTGCTCGGTCGTACGCTCTTCTCGGTTTGGGCTTCCTAGTTTATTCTGGTTGGAGGCTCCACTCCGAGTATGTGCCCCTGTGGTCAGACCCGTAGTGGTCATGATAAAGTTGGCATTTAATCAGCCGTGTCATGTCATTAATAAGTGTGAGGTCGAGTACTGATATCATCCCAGGTTTATTTAGAGACCAGAATATCATCTCGCCTGGGGCCAGGCACCATTGCAGCTCGTGGTCTTAAAAGAAATTCGTTAGTTCATCTGCGTGTTCTGTGAAGCTGCGATGTACCGCACGGTAGCTTTATGCCGGGTGGTGGCGGTTGAAGTCTCTGGTCATGATAATTTTTGTTATGTGTTCGCCCTGCTCTGCTTGTTCCCGGATAGTTTACTGGATTTCTGTCAAAATTTCGCGTGCGCTGTTTGCTTCAACCGGGTCATGTAACGCGATTGGCTGGATACAGATCAAAAACATTAGATACTGCAGCTCTGGGGTCCAAACCTTGACGGCCACTATATCCGGGTGACCACACTGGATCTGGCAGTGTGTTGATGTGGAGATCCTCCGGTTGACATAAAAAAGACTGCGGAACCGAGGTATTTCCGGATGCGTAATTTGGTAGAGTCGCCAAGCACTGTGGTTAATATGGGTGTAGTATACTGTCTTTGGTGATTCCTGAATCAGAAGAAGATCCAGGTTCTGACTTTAATGATTGTTGATGAGGATTTCCATCCCTGCCCTGGATTTCATGATGTTCAACTGTAAGATGCAAAGGTTTGCTGTCATTGGAATGGACTGGGGTTAGGAAATGTCTGGCATGCCTGGTTATTTATTGGGTGTTTTCCATTGCAGTCTAAGCATCTTGGTCTTATTCCTGGAAAGCAGTGCTGCTGGTCATGATAACCTGTATAATATCCGCACTTCGCTCATTCCTTGCATGACCAGGCTAGGTGGCTAAATTATTAGTAGCGGCGGTATCTCTTCTTCTCCACCCGGTAGAGTTCCACGCTCCCGATAAATCTTTGCCCCACTAACAATCTGTTATTAATAATCTATTCTACTGCCTCCGGTGAGTCCAACCAGATCTTTATTAAGACTAATTTTCTGAGAGGCATGTCCCTCTTCTTTAACTATGTAATATCTTTAATCTGGAATTTCTTGTTATAGAGGTTATTCTTTGTTATAATCTTCTTGATCCCCTGTTTCTTATTTCCTTCTAGTTCAAAGTCCTCAGTTGGGACTTGGTGAATCATAATCCTAAACCGGGGCTTTACTACTTTAGTATTATTTTCTAATTCCTCCAGCTACTTAGTGCTGTTCCAGGCTATCTCCGCAGACTGGGTGTCCCGGAATCGGATGACATACCTTGTTTTGGTAGTACTAATGCCCGTGACTTGTACTTCTTTGGTGGTCCCTGTGTTCAGCAGGGCGGTCTTGATGTGTATGTTTGCTGCTTCAGTGGGCAGGGCCCTTGAGAATTGATCGTTGTCAACATCTTGATTAAGGGTTGGTGTGGTACTAATTCGGACACAGTTAGGTTCCTTCCTGGGGCGCGGGATGATTCTTGCGGGGTTTGGTTGAGGATTACCAGCAGCCACTTCTGCCCAGGATCTGTTCACGGGGGTATTCAGCGGTTGTGTCTCTAGTTTAGCCTGTAGGGCCTGGATTTCTTTCTGCAGTTTCTTATTATAGGTTTACAGAATCTGTTGTTTGGCTTTTAGGTCTTGGACCTCCGCTCTTACTGTCTTAATAATTTCAGTCTGGTATTTGAGTGCCTCATTAAAGCTGTTAAAATATTATTAGATATCCTGGTTTGTCACCCGCCTGTTGTTTTCTCCGCCGGTCGTAAATTCAGGGTTCGCGATCGGCTCATTTTCCTCTGCATTGATGCCTTGTCTGCGGCGTTTTCTTGCTGCTGGGATCCTTGGACGAAAGTTATAGTTGCTGAAAATTGTGGCTGTTTCTTGGGTGTTTATGGGATGGGGTTCGGTAACCCCTGCCGGGATCGCCATCGGGCCGAGACTAGTGCCCGCTCGGCACACAGTGACAGCCACAACACCTCACTTACTCACGATGGTTTGCTATACAAATTTCTCTCTTCAATAAAATGGAGCCACCGTGCGGTACATCGCGGCTTCGCAGAACACGCAGACGAACTAATGAATTTCTTTCAAGACCACGAGCTGCAATGGTGCCTGGCCCCAGGCGAGACGACATTCTGGTCGTTGTAGTATGTGGATTTGACTAGCACTCTGGTTGCTTAGTAGTTACCAAGATGAAGTATAAACTGGCCAAATTAGGGCTCGAGGTATAGTATCTCACTGGAAGCTCATATTGGAAGCAAATAGGTATTTACCATTTAGTTCTGTTGTAGCTAGCCTGCAAGAGAGAAGAATATGAAAGATTCTGGTCATAATATACAAGAATTAAGGGCTGTACTAAAACAAGGAAGCCATCGGAATCTGTAATTATACACACTGCAGGTGAGTTGTCGACATAGCTCCAGAGAAAACTAATAATTTCAGAAACATACAAGCAGAATTACAAACCAAATCAAGATCTTATCTAAAATATATTATATTAATTTACTTCTTCCCACTACCTATATTATATATTTATTAAGACAGATCTCTTCTCTCTAGCACTATCATGAATACCTCGTCCTCAACAGATTTCAGTCAGAGTTTGATATGATATCATTGCCTAGACTAAAGAGATAATAAGTAGCTAAAAAGCCTGAGAGTTTAAGATTAGTATTCTTTATCAAGAAGCTTTTTTATAAGTATAATCTAATAATAAATTACAGATCTTAGTTAACAGAGCAGTTACTTCCACTACTAGATTATCTAATCTATGATATTCTCTGTCTGAGTGGACGGCTGTTATATATACCAGTTAAATTTGATAGCGCCTTAGAAAGAATATGGAGAAAGTATGAAGATGAAGTAATACTAGTTATTCAGGTAAGAATAAGACTTTCCTATATACTACTAAAAGAACTAGACTGTGCTGTTAAAATATACTTCAGTAATAGTCTTCTTATTATTTTGACTAAATTTATTACTCTTTAACAGTTTATATTATATAAGGAATCTACAATTCTCCTGGAAGAGAACTTTTTATTAATTAAGATTTTTACTACTGAACGCTTGTCTTGGAATTCCTGCAAGTTTATTATTATACTTATTTTATTATTTATTTTTCCACGAGAGCTACAAGCCATGTATATAACTTTGAAATAATAATTATATTCTTTAAATAAACTCTCTATTATCACAGATATCTTGAACACAGTTTTATCTGATCTGCCTAAGTAATTCTCCCAGGCCAAGAAAGCAGTAATTAATAATAAAATCAGTAAGATTACTGTACTAGGCGTGAGTCTTATTAATATAAAAATAATTAAATATAATAAATATCAAAGCTGTGACATAAATTATATATTCTTTACACACTGCTTTGTTCTGGCTATAGGAAGAGAGAGTTTCCGGATATACTAGATATAAAATAAGCACGGCTACCGCCTAGATAAGTACTTAAAGTAGAATAATTTATAACTTTAATTCTAGTAAAAGATAATAACTTTCTTGAAAAGCTTTTAGAAACTCTGTTATTATTTAGTAAATCTGATATTTTTCCATAGCCTAGATTCTGTAATTAACCTCTTTAGGAATCTTAGATATATGAATTAAAGAATATCTACTGTATCTATTTTAAAATAGATCTTGATTTAATTTATAAAAGGCGGTGTTTACAGGCTCCTATTATTCCTATATATTAATTATAAATAAGAACCTTTAAGATTAATAATATTCAAGTAGAGAATATCCAGAAGTTCAGATAGAGATATTTAGTATAATAATTACTATATAAAAGTTTACTTGAGACTACAGTAATACCTGAATAATTTATTATATTTTATAATTATAATTAAATTAATTTTACAGTTCCTTGCTTTATCTTGTTCGCATTAAATACCCAATAAACATGATGTAAGATAGTAATTAATTGATTATTATTTATAAATATAGTTTACATATTTTTATAATGAGTAAGAGACTGCTAGTTAATAAATCATTTAATAAGTTTTATTAGTAAATCTTTTAGTATAGTTAATTATTTTTATATAAAGAGTACCTGGTCCTCATGCTTAGATTTTCTTTTTCTAGAACTGCTGGAGACAGCCAACTGTTAAATGATACCAAAAACTTAAACTTATTAAGGCAGAATATATTACCTGACTATACTATTAAAAGCTATTTATATGAAGTAATTAAGTAAATTCTTTGAAAAGTTAACTGAAAATAGAAAAATCCTTGACTGGTACTAGCCCAGTTCTATTAGTATTATATAATTATTATTCATATATACCGCACCCAGCTAATCAGACTATATATTTTATTAAGATAGACCCACTAATTATATACTCTCTATATTTCAGATTTAGCTACTACTTTGAGCATGTGCTTCTAATAATTATCTACAACTGGCATCTTCTAGTATCATAAAACGGGTTCTCCTGATAGCTGGAATAAGAGGCGTACAGCTAAGCCACACACACACACACACACACAGACATAGAGGCACTAATATAAATGCTTCAGTTTGCACAGCCGGTCAAGAAAATATATCTCAGATTACATTTGGATCCTTGGAGACAGGTTACTTAATAAGATAGTTAAGATTAACTTACTTCAAATAGCAATTATATCTGTGTTCTGCGATACAGGTATGTCTTTCCATAACGGGTTTTGGATAAGGTCTGGAAATATTACTGGGGTTTGTTATTGTTTACCCGGTCTCACCGACTCGCTGGAACCCCCTAACAGTACCCTCTGAGACGTCATTTTTCCTGCTCGCCCCCCTTCTTTCAGGGAGGAGATAATAGGTCTATGAAAAACATAAGAGAAGTTAATTTTTAGAATTTATAATAGTGATCCAACCTCTGTCTAGTCAAGAATCTTGTGGCGTGTGTTACATTTCAAGTGTATTCTATTTAATAGATTTAAAAATACTCACAATATAATTATTCAAGTAATAATATAGTAATATTACTATAAGTATTTAGTCGCACATGTATATCTCCTAGTCTGTAGGAAAGCATTCAAACTAGTATTAATCTAGACCAGCCAGCATATAATATCTATTAAATTAATCAGTGATACAGATATTAAATTCTCTGTATTCTGATGACCCTTCTGCCCCTTGCATGAGTAAGTAAGTCAAAGCACAATAAGCAGTATATATAATCTAATAATTATTAATATATTTTCTTCCTTGTAAATATTAAGTAATTAATCAATTCCCTTATACTTTTTATTTAAAATATAACATTGATTTCCAGATATTATTATACCTCCATAGACAAGAGCAACTTGCTGTAAAGCTCAGGCTAGTTATTAGATTTTTTAGCTTTTAATAATTCTTTACAAGAAAGAGATCTACTGGTATAGATATTATCTAAGGTGATTTATTAGCATATAGACTCTTACCTTTATTATTATTCATTGAATGAGATCCCGAAGGATCAGCTGGTAAGAATAAATAAAAAACAAAATATCTGTAGATATAGTTATAATAAATATTTAAACAGGTTTCCTCTTACAAGTAACCCTGGTATATGATATTTAGTATATTTAATCAAGATAAATCTATCTAAAGCAATTTTACCCATTCCTTTTCTAAAGAATTAATTTTATTATAAGACTATGGATTACTTACCCTGTAATTAAATCCATTATCTGGCTGATCACTATCTATAACTAAGTTAGCCTTGAGCAGCGTTCAGAGAGATAGAACTATAATACTACAGTATCCAGTCTTACTAGTATTTTTAATATTATAGCCCATCCGTGGTACTGTTTTAAAATAATTCCACTGTATTCTGATTGCCACGGATCCCACCATTATAATACTAATATTTAAAGCTATTATAAATACTCCTATAACAGCACCTCCTATCACAGCACTTTGTAATATGGTAAACAGACTTCCAGCTTAAACTGCTCTAATTAAAAATTATTATACTATAATAAATAAAGCTGCAACAGGCCCTGTAGCACTAAAACTAGCAGTATTTAATATTACAGAGTCAGTAATAGATGCCGTAGCAAGGGCAAATCCCGTACTATTAAAGATTAATATAATTATATATTCTTGAATAAAGAACTTTCCAGAAAAGATAATTACTATAATTATATTTCTTAGATATTACATAGTACCTGTAGAATCTGAGGTTGAGGAACTTCAAGGATCAGGAGATAGACTCATTAAAATAGAGAGACTGAATATAAAGATCAGTATTAGTAAAAGTAGAAAAGAATAAAAATTATACTATTACTTATATACCCGAGTCGGGTATTTATCATGGTATACTGGAGCAGAAAACAATTGGCTTCTGACAAAAATTCACCAGGAATGATAATTACTAGGATTATGGTGAGTTACTTATTATCTGGCCTGCAGCTTTTCTCTGGCTTTCGACTAGTATTCAATACAATACAGCACGTGTGCGAGATACTGCATCATCAATGTATTATTAACATGACCGTCCCAAGAGCTTTGCTTATAAAGTATCCATGGAAGATCCCCACCAATACTACACTAGGGACTGGGAAAAAGTATGGAGACTCTGGAGTAGACATAGTAATAGCGCAAGATATCATATAGAATAACATCTCTCTGCAAACTGTTATAATATTATATATAACTTTCCGTCGAAACCCCTCAATGTATTTGGCTGATATTATTATATATTATCCAAGCTGGATTGTGGTACTGCGGCTTATTATATAAGAGTACAGACTTTTATACTCTAATATTTATATATCTGGATGTAAATCATTCCTAGTACTTAATTAGTTCTGTAGGGATCTACTTTTTGCCTGATTTTTAAATTACAAGGCAGGTCAGTTATAATACAGCTTATATTAAAAATATTAATCAGTCTACAGTGATAGAATATTATATTTCCTGTTTCTGGTACTTCATGATTTAAATAAATGAGTACTTCTAGCTCTTATACTTTTTTTAGATAAGACTTTGCTTTATCTACTTTATATTTTTCAATGTGAGTTACGAGTTATAATCTAAAAATTGTATTAATAATATTAAATATCTTGAGATTGTTGTTCTAAAAGGCGAGAACTATCAAGAATATAACTATCTACATCAAATAAATAAATACTTTCAAAAAAAATGGAGGAGACATGTTTATTCCATCAAGATATTTTTAACAGGATATTGCAAGCAGTTACAGTATACAAAACCTGAATCTAGATAATAATAAGAAATAAAGCAGCCCTAAGGTCCCTTCAGCTGATAGATATTATAAGTAAAGCCACGTGATCTCCATGGTTGAAATACTAAGAATTATTATATACTATCAAGGTGAGAGGAACTATGGTGGGGATCACGCGAAGTGAGGATTGCTTCTGTAGCTAGATGCAGTGCAATTTCAGACTTTCTTTGCCAAAGTATGCGATGCGATTAGCCTGGTATCGTGAAAGAAAATAATTGTTAAGAGTATCTCCAGAATACCTACTGCAACATATACGTGATTCTTGCCTAGCCCCATACAGGCAGTACATCCAACTCATTACTCATATTTCTCCACCAATCGTGCTTTGACACATGTCGACCATTCTGCACTAAGATGGTACAAGTCTAGAGATCTTCCATCCTACCTTCCGACTAGAAAAGCTATGGCAGGCAAAAAGAAGAGGAAACAAAGACCACCACAACTGCTCAGTCCGATCGTCTTTTCGGAAATTGAAACCTTGAATGAAGATTTGCCGCCCACCCCTCGTCAAAACTCGCCCCTTGATGAAACGAATAGTATAATGAGAGAAGCACGAGAATTATCGTATTTTGAGTGAGCTACTCCTTTTAAAGTGCATTTGTAGTAGAGGTTGACCTAAATCAGCTTTCTAGACTCCGATCCTGTTTCCCTTCAAGTTGGTCAAACGAGACGTTCGTTTAGGATCCATCGAACGCTGCTTCACTCAAAGTCCTCACCGTTGATTGCAGCCTTGGACAGTAATCTCAAGGAAGGCCAGAGCGGCGTGTATGTATTTGAAGACGTGGCAGAGGGTACAATTGCACGATTTATCGAATGGGCATACCGAGGCGATTATCCCGCCACAATCAGCGGAACCAACACTGGACAGACTCCAATTTTGCTGGAAGGCACGGAGACGGATATTGACGAGAAGCCTGAAAACACAACTCCCGAAACCGACTCGACGTCAGAGAACCACCCCCTTCTTGTCCATATCCGTCTATACATATTTTCTGAGACTTACATTGTTCCCGATCTTCAACAGCTGGCTTTTGAAAAAGTGACTGCTTGTATAACGAACTTGGACAAACCGAACAGTCTCGACACACAACTCGCAGTAATTGATGCTTTACGGGTCTCTTTCCTCGGGCTCCCGCAACACGACAAATTGCTAGACTGGTTGGCTCAGTACGCTGCATATTGTTTAGAAAAGCTCCGGGTACAAGGCCCATTTCATGATCTCCTTAAAGAGTTCCCAACCTTGAGCTCCCGCATGATACTGTGTCTGGGGCCAGCATCGACTCCACCATGGCGGACTACACAACCAAAATACCCATTTATCCAGTACTCTGCCAAATGGTCGGAAGACAAACATGGTCACTAGCATAAGCACAACAGCTCTGCTAGATTATGGATCTTTCCGTCGTTTCTATTTAGAACATGACTTTCTGCGGTGACATCTCAATTTACTTGATCTCGATTGGTTAGGAGAAGTGATCACGCTATTCCAACTCAAATTTACGGCAATTTAAAGTCATAGGTATCTTTTGCATGTACCACGGTCGATTATTCCACTGTCATCAATGTCATTATGAGCTTTAACCCCATTATCTGCTTACTGTACGCACCGCACACATTAGTCGATTCATCTTGTTCACAAGTCATTCGAGTGTGACACTTATATTAAAAAATCCTGTAGAGCACGTATATTGCCTCGGCAGCAATAACATGCTAAGAAACAATTACATTACATGGAGGGTATATATTTCACATACCTTTGTGACTTTCAGGCCAAGAATTTGGTTGCAAGGAATCTTTGTGTAGCATTCCCTCTGTTTTAGACTAGCAGAAGATTGAGATATACAAGTATGACCGCCAGTTCAGCAGGTTTCTGGTGAGGCATTCTGATTACTAAATAGAGTTAGCTTTTTCTTACACCACTTCAGTACTTACAATAAACACCCTTCAGCCTTCTTTTGCTTCAACTCAGCATACTAGAAATGTACTCACATACACTCTCCTTCGAGTCAGAGACTTCTTCTGCGAAGAACGCTGGGATATCAGCAAGGCTGTCATGCGAGGGGTGCCTATTGCTCGGATGGCATGTCCACATCAAGGCAGCCTATTAGAAGACACCCGGTCGCATTCTTCGCCCTGTATCATCGCAATATTCTCCTGTGTGATTCTCGGGGAGAGGTCTTAGCACTGGGTTGAATAAATTAGACGACCAGAACCCTTAATCTCCCAAATTTTGTGATTACAAGGAGTTGGCCTCTACGCGGGTCTGGTTATTCTCGAATCCTTTACTTTGAAGCTCTACTCGAATTGTATTTTTTTCCATTCATGACCAATCTTCCAACCAACCACGAACGAAAAAAGCTCAATATTCGAGGGAAAAGCACCCATGGCTTTCACGAGGAGCTCAGCAATGGATTACGACCAGCCAAAATTATCGTAAGACAACTATGCTCTGCCTCTGATGATGCGTGCTAATCCCCTTGCCTCTATCGTAGTCCCTATGAACAATAGAGGGTCATCGTCATTACCGTCGGAAACAAGAAATACTCCATTCCAGAAAATTATATACCAGGGCATCTGCTAGCCCAAGCCAGATAGTCTCGGAGTCCACGTATTGTAATTGGAGATCGACGCGGATGTTGGCCACACCATCATACATTTCCCATATGAAAGGAGATATGAAACGGTCTTTGTGCGGAAACCCAAATAGAGCCACACAACGTTGAACTTGAATATGAGAGAAGCGTCCAGATTTACTAAGCTGCCAGGAAGCACGAGATAGACGACCTCGACGCGCTTGCCCAAAAGTACATTATGACTCTCAGCGAAAGCCTGTCGATTTCCCAGATCCTTTAAGGAGCCCGGTCGATATTTTCGAAATTGTCTGAGAATGAAGAATGGTTTCATCACTATCTGGACTCTATGCTTTCTAGGAGCTTTGCGCAGGATGAGCCAATATTCTAGCTGGATGAGTTCTACAAGGAAATTGTGAATGATCCAGCATTCAGCAAAGCTGTAGTGACCTCACGCTTGCGAAACATTCTTAGAGTTACCGGCGGCGGGAGTGAGACGAAGGATGATGGCGAGCCTTCGCGTGAACAACCGATTCCAGTTACCCAATCTGAGCCTACCGAAGACCACAACGAGGGAAAATGTTTTAAAGCGCTGTCCAAAGAATATAGCGCTGCGAATATCTCATGTTATTTGCTTCTTGATCGGAACTGCCCGTGTGGTGAGCCCGCATCGAGCTCCTTCCAGTTGATTGCGAAAAGGCCAACTCAGAGGTTCACTACAATCCCGAAGACAATGGTGATTGGAGTTGGGGCTTTCGAGGATAAGAAACGAGAAAGAAGAAGAATAAGAACAAGAGGAGCCACCTAAACAGCATGCTGAGTGTGAATGAGAAATGATTGGATGCTTGGTTGTAACGAACTTTCGGATGTAAAGAATGCCAGCGCAATACTGATGCCATATGGCAATTTTACTGTCTCAGCTGCTACACAAACTCTGAAATGTCTCACAAGTAAATATTTGACTTGTCGAGCGTTGTTCCGCTTTATCTATGTCGCCCCGTACAATACCACGTTTAGTCATCCCTTCAGTCAAGCAATGGTACAAGCCTGACACCTTGCGAAAGCAACTCATGTAAGCCATGGCTCCCCGTCCTATAACCTTAAGATTTTTATGGATTGTTCCCCCCCGAGAACCGAGTGAAGATTGAAAACAATAAGAACTAATTCCTCAGCGTGGGTAGACGCCTCAACACCATGCTGGGCATCAATGCTTTCGCAACATTATCCTCCTTAAGAGGCTTAACCCTCGTCGGAAGCGTGGGAGAAACATACTCGTGTTGTGGTTTGCCCAGCTGCCTGAACGCTACAGAAGTCTACCACCATCCGGTCCCCCTCAACCTTCTGTAGTCATTTAGGAAGATGTTCGAACCAAGGGTTGTCCAAGCTATTTGTCACCTCAAGCTTTCCCTCCACCTACGCAGCCCTATAGCTGAAGAACCTGTAGGACTTGGCTGTGTGGGATCTCAGGTATCAGTGTATCACCGCAGAAATCATTGACATTTGTTTGTTGCGGTAGCACCCTTCTATGTGGCAGTGACTATAGGGACAGTTGGGCGATTGCTTTGGGTTTTCCTAGCTATAAAAACAAGTGCATACACCAAGATCTACCTTCACGTTCCTTGTCATTGGCTGAGCCCGGAACCCACTCATATCTGATAACATTACCGCGAACTTTCTCCCTACTGAGCATCTGACTCTGGCATATGAAGGCTACATCGCATAATGAGGTGGCGCCTTCTTTTGCGTCCCTGAAGAAAGGTGATTTTGACTTTCAAGCCCTATCCTTTCCTAGCCCGGAGGCTGCACTCATCTCCAGGTCAAAGAGCAAACATAATGCAAAGCAACAAGATGCCCAACCTGTAGCACAAGCGTATTGCCATATTCGAAGATGTGCGGAATATAGTAACTTTAAGCTACTGTTAGACACTGGTCTGCTGGGTACACAGGCTTAGCTGAAATATCACGGACCCCACTCATGCTTGGAGGCTAATTTTCCATTCTAGACCTTGCCAAATGGCGGGTTGGGTTTCGACCTCCAACCCAAAACCCGCAAAGAGAAATATATAACGGTAATATATACACAAATTACATATATATATGCTTATTGAAGATCCAATGTTTCGTATGTATTTCCGTAATATATGAGGGGTGGGTTCTTATCGGGTTTCCGTGTAACCCATGGGTATTCGAAAAAGCAATATGGCGAGGTCTATTTCATTCATCTTTATAGTCACGTGCACTTAAGACTTGATACCCTTATGTTACGAAGAAACGCTAACCGTTGATCGGGGACGGTGCATGATGTAAGCAATATCGGTCAACCAATGAGCGAAGACCACATCGTTATCTGCTTCAGTCCCGCGCTACGACGGGCAAAAATATGCCTCTGTAACCGAATAGTACTGACGTTTATAATGATTATGTCCCGATTAGTCGCATATATGGTATGCAGGAAGCTATGACCTCATTCCTCATGTGCATCCATCAGTGGTGAGAGCAATACAACGGACTAATGATATGCATATCAAATAAGGCACCACCTATGTCTTCAGTCGCGTCAGATCCATCCAAACCCTCGCTTTCGCTCAAGTCATCTTTTGCGCCAACTTGCAAAAGAATGTTGAAAAATTTCGGTGTTCTTTCGTCTCGTACTGTAGCTGCTGTCAAAGTATCTCCATAGATACCCCCACGAGCATTGACGTCTGCGCCAGAATTCAGTCACATTTGTACCGAGCATACTTGTCCATTTCTTGCCGCGGCTTGCAACGCATTACCGTGATATCCTCATTGAGCGTTAACCTGAGCACCGGCATCCAGCAGAGCTTGCGCCACTTCTTCACTCCATGATGAGCCGCTGCCTGGATTGCGCTCCCATATATGAGACCTTTCGCGCTGGGATGCACCTCAAGATAAGAGCAGCAGTAAGTGGCCGCCCTATGTACCCTTCGCAGCCGGTATGGATTAGAAATGCCGCCCACAAATGATGATTCTTCATGTTTTACCGAACTTCTCTGACCGCGCGTCAGTTCTACTGTAAGGCCTAGCAATCCCGGAATTAGTCCTACTTTCGCGACAATGGGAGCAGGCGTCTGCCTTGTAACACAAGATCGTTGCGCTACGTTATCAGTTAGATGCATGATCATTGAGATTGTCCCCTTCCTCGTGAAATGTAAAGAACCAACGTCAATATAAGACCGATATAGCATAACGGCACGGGTTCCCCTCGTGCATGAGTATCCATGCCAAGAATCCACACGTCGGCTTGTATGGCAGGTGAGGGTATGCTCTTGGCGTCGTATTCACGATGAGAACATAAAGTCATGCACCGCATCTGTCCGATCAGATACATCCTGGGCATAGGAGTGTGCTACAAAAGTTGTACTCAAACAATGGCTTCGGATTCTAGTATTGTCGATAGTTGAAGCCACCGAGCAGCATAGGGAATACTGTATACGCAAACCACCCAAGACTGAGCTTATAACTGCCAGAAGGTCATGCTTTGAATCCCATGCCTTTTTAGTCCACTGCAGGACGAGTAGCTGCACCAATTGCGTAGCGCTAACCCGTCACTGCTCAATATACTATGATCCAAGACTGTATTCTATTAGCGCCTGGGGCGCATCAGCCGAAGAAGAGGATTGGTCTAAGAATTCTCGGGAAAGGGAGAAGGTGATTAGCCTGGAACAAGCTATAGTAGCATGGGAAGCGCTGGCAGGTAGGCAGTAGCTTTACCTTATATATAAATACTAATAAAGTGGCTAATTGACTATCAGTCATCGCAATAAGATGTTATGGTATGGTTAGAACCGTTCGTAGTGGTCTCTCGCGTCTTCCCTCGACATCTCGGAAACTGTCACCAAGAGGAGGCCCACAGTCATAGAGTATTTCCAAGGGCTATCCAGAGGATCGAAAACCAAGGTCTGTATCATATCAACTGCAGAGTGGCCAGTCCTGGAAAGTCACTATACAGGGGGTGACCAGTTCACATAAGCTATCTGGCAGCACGATCTGAAACGTATTTGACCGTTGGGCGACCCACTACTTCCAAGACACCCGACACTTGAGGCAATTCGACCACCGCAAATGCCACCAAAACCATCCATCTCGTCAAAAAAACCGGCGGAGCGAAAAGGTTAAATGCGTGTTGCGCTGGAGCTATTGAGAAATACCAAATGATCTAGCATTTGGGAAGCTGCAATTATTTAAGAGCACATAATTTTATATGAACAGGTATTTAGCGATCCAGTTGACTATTTATAATTCAACTAGGATATCTGGAACGGGTTACTTTGAGTATGTTCTTGCTAGCACGAGGTCCTACGTCTAACTCTGATCTGAAATATAAGACGTATTTTAGATGTAGTATGAAGGTTGATCTAATCATCTACCTCGAGAAACAAGACCCACAATAATAGTTGGAACATATGCACCGATTATATTAGACACTAGGGGCTTTGAAAAAATACTAGATTTATTTGAGGTAGGTCAACAAATGAATAGAGCACAGTCTTGTGTTTTATGGTCGCAAAGTCATGTGACACCTGAATGCAGTTAACGCCGTGCTGAAAATGAGGTTAACTAGTTTCATACCTGTCCATTCATTTCGTCTGCCTCAGTCTCAGCTGAAAGTGAGATGAAAGGGCCTGGGACAGACAAGCTGTCTACCAATGTCTCTAATGAGTTAGGTCAAGATGATGGGACCGCGCCTATGCTCTGGCTGCCTCATTCTGCAGTGTAACAAGCGACTATCTGTAGAGCTTACCATCACGCCCAGTAGCTTGTAACTGTATTATCCAGATAATAAGAGTAGGACAAAGCGTAACCTAGTGGAACATTATGAGGGAGGAGATTTCGCAAAACACTATTAGCCTATTAGGGTTTAGGGTTTATTATTAGGGGTTTAGGGTTTT